TTCAACACATGGAAAATATTGAAGGATAAAGTACGATCGTTTATACTTGGCTGTTAGTTTACACCATCATACATTCAATTTATATCATCATAAATAATAAAATCTTCAGAAATTTTTGTCAGTGGTTTCTAACCGAATTAGTTGCAGGAAAAATTTAAACATGATTCACCATCGGGAGAACATGTTAGTTTTCATTTCTATTTTTGGTTCTGCTTTGTGCGTCGACGCTTTTCATCCAAAAGCATTAAGTGGTCGTATTTTGCTCCTGCCCATCCATTCAGAAAATACCGACAGCTCTAGAACGAAGCAAAACGTTTCTCATTTACCTGAGGAAAGTATTCGTTTTTCCTTTTCATTCAACAGATGCAACGGAAAAGAGATATTTACGTCACTAAATGCAGAAGTAATGAAGGTACTGTCATAAGTATATTCTGAGATTATTAGATTTGAATTTACATATTTTCTCAAGATACCATTTTTATTTTCCGTTTTATGTATTAGTGAATACCTAATATACATTTTGAATATCAAATTAATTGTGTTGGCTTTACGAATGTAAAAAAAAAACTTTGGGGAGTATTTTATTTGAAAATTGTTTGTGTGTATCTTGTGTGGGTTGCATTGTGTGTGACCATAAAAACAAATCTTGCTTAGAATTCAGAGTAAATTGAATCATACTTTACATAAAAATCTAACAAAAAAGCTTGGAATATTTTCGTTTAAATCATGCAATTTGTTATCTTATCTTCGACTAAAATATTTGGTAGAATTCAGAAAATATATTTGTTCTCTAATTTCACCCTTTTTGTGCAACTGAAAATTTAATAGAAATAATAGACCTAATGTAATGAAAATGGATGTTTAACGTATGGCAACGGTTCAAATACGTTGGGTCCCATTATACTTCAAAATATCTCGAAAAGAGAACATTCTTAACGATATAAAGTACATTTTACGACAAAAAGTTGGAAATTGATATATTTGTATAAATTGTTTTAAAATACTTCATTTTACTTTATTTTTTGTATCTCAATATTCTTGTTAAAATGGATATTTTCATGGCTTGTAAAAATAATATCCAATTTTTTTCAGCCAATTTTACGACCTTTGAAAGTCGAATTGCGTTTTTACACATTCCCAAAGCGCTTTATTACGAAATAAAGGTAACGGTCATAATGTGAATTATAACTTTAACTTGCTGGTATTTGTACACCACTTTGAATGTTTATGAATTGCCTACGCAAATGAAGTTTGAGTTTGTTCGACCTATTATTATGTCTGTCTGTGCTGTGGACATCTATGTACACATTTGTGCAAATCGCAATCAACTAATATACGTCCAGAAGTACCATTTGACAGGAGGTGAAGCAGAAAATGCACATGTATACGAAAATACAATGTGTTTTTCAGAGAACAAGATTAAAATTTGTGGTACTTCAAAATAGCACAGACGTTCTCGTTGTAGTTAGTTTCCTATTCTCTCAACTCATGTTAGCTTTCCAGTTTTGCTCCACCCTCTTCTCGCCAGCCATCAATTGAGACGAGCTATCGTGACCGCCCAATCTGAGTAGGCTGGAGCGCGACACATTCACATGCGTAAAATACATGAACACACTTCCTAAGAACAATAAGAAGCACACATTAGGCGCGACGGAAGTGCAAAGAGAGGAGTAGACGACGCCTTGACGAGAAAGGGAGAGTGACGAACGCAGGTCACTCCACGAACCGCTCTTTTCGTTCTCATTTCCACTGCGCAGCTACATGAAGCAACAGTTAACATTATTGCAATTGTTCTACGCAAAAACTCTATCATTTTGAAATTTGAACGATATCCCCAGCTCATAAGAAGCATCGCAAAAGCTCTACTGAGTTTTTTTTTAGTTTTAGACTAGATTCGAATCTTAATCATGGATGCGAGTCCGGAATCAACTGTAGGCTTTTCTTAACAACATTATACTTAATGACTTGTCACCTGTGAGTAAATTGCGTTATCCTGAAGTGTGTTTCGAGGCGGAGCAAATACACAGTTCGGGTTCATCGTTACATGGCCGGATTCAGAGTGGGGTGTATTTTATATGATATTTAATTTTGGTGTGTATTTTACACGAGGTCCCTGAGACATTTTGAACATTTTCAAAAAATTGCCTCCATTTTTTTGAATACGTTTTGTATTGGATAGTGTAAATGACGTTTAAGACAAAGTGCGGGTTTCATTTTTGTTGAAAACTGATTTTTTGAGAAAAGCTAAAAGTGAATTTTTCTTCGGCGTCTTCCTACAACTAAAGTATTAAAGATCCATATTTTTTCCTTCATAAAATATATTCCATAAAGATAGAATTTATAATGTCATGTACAATTTTACGAAAATTCGATTAGTTTTGCGAATTTTTGCGAGGAATATAGGTAACTTTTTGTTTAAACAATTTTTTCTCAAAAATGACTCAATCGTCTTTTATTAAATTTTGTTGTATAGTCTGAAAGTCGTTTAAGACAATGCTGGAGGTCTCAGTGGATAAAAACCCTGATTTTTCGAAAATTGAAAAAAACAAAATTTTTTGCGTCTTCCTATAAAAAAATTATAAAGATAAACATGTTTTAAATGAAATGTGTTAATGAAAATGAGAACTTCAAAAATAAGGTTTTGTTCAATTTTTTAAGAACATGAATTTTTTTGCACAAGTTTGTCAAACAGAGCAATTTTTATTTTCTTCATACCATTGTTTTAAAACTCACATTTTTTATTAAATTGATACCTTAAATAGCATAAAGGTTTATTAAAAGAATAGTGCAGTTATAATTTTCATTTAAATGATTGATTTAGCGAAAAATCATAAAATTGCAACATTTTTGGTGTCTTTCTATAACTTCAAAGTGAAGATCGATTTTTTTCTTAATGAAATGAGTTTATCGAAAACAGAAAATTAAATGAAGTCATATTTTTCAAATCGTGAGTTTTTTTTGTTTAATTTGACGACAAACATATCCGCCCGCTCCGAATTTACTGCGCTTGGTGAACGTAATTCCAGACAGATGGATGCTTCGTAAGTTACAATTTTTATATTATATCACGTTTCTTTATTCGCTTCTTACATTCGACCTTTTCTTATACAATTAGACATTAATATTTTATGATTATTTAAAACATATTGGAATTATAAGAAATAAAATTTGCTAGCCTCAGGAAATATATTGAAATGCAACAATGACGCGAGAGCTACCTTTCGTGTTACATCATGATTTACCTGTATGAAAAGCAGTTATTATTGCTGAATTTGTGTTGATATTTTCTTCAAAATATTTAGTTTTTGCACCAAATGTTACGTTTTGTAATGAGCAGAGTTGGAGAATATATGAATACTTGTATTTAAAATACGTATTTTAAATACATTTTGTATTTGCAGAACTGTATTCTTGGGACATTTTGAGCATGCATTTCTAGATATGTTTTTTAAATACATACCGTAACTGTATTTAAACTAAGACATACTTAAAATACAAACGAAAAAGAAGGTAGTTCAGAACGGAAATAGTTTCTCTTTGATTCCGATAGTAAATGCATCTCATCCAAACAAAAAAAAACTTCTTTCAGCTATAGAATTTGCATTCTTCTCCTTGTTAAATGATCAATGTAAATAATTAAGAATGCTGGACAAGTATCCAACAGTACAAAGCGTTTATTTGTTATAACTAGTTTGTTCATCCAAGCCAGTGGAATGACTGTTTTCTTTTGCAGGTTTTATACATTCACCTACTAGGGGGTTGATGATTTGTTTGAATAATTAGTCGTTTTAAAAGGAAATTCCATGTATATAGCATTTATAGACCTATTATTTGTTATGTTTTGGGTATGTACTTAATTACTTATTAATAAAGTGTTTGCCCGACATTGGTAATGAATTTTACAAAATATAATGACTGAGATGTGTCAATTCGGAGAGAAAGTGTGGTGTAAATAGTATTATAAAACTATAACTAACGGGGGGAAAGTACGTGCTGTTTTAGTACCACTAGTTAAAACCTTCATCTTCACTCAAGGTCAGGAGAGTCAAGTATTTAATGCGGCACACCCCTAGGGCCTGCTGGAACGTTGGTGATTTTTGGTTAAAATATAGGGTGGGGGTTGCAGTATTGTTATCTCAAAAATTAATATAATATTATAGATTATATATAAAGACGTAGATATAGAAACAAAACAATGTTACTATGAAGTAACTGAAATTGGGTGGATTATGAAATAAAGGAAAAATAAACACGTAAAAGACAACGATGGAAGGCGAATGGAAGTAAATAAATTAAATTTTATTTACATTTGTAAGAATATTTAGCTTATCCAAGTTACATAGAAATGAACGATAAAGGAATACAATAGCATATTTGGGAACAATTTTAAACTTGAATTTCGGAAGGATGTAATGGAGTTTGATGTGGAGGAAGAACGAAGTATTTTGGTGAGGGCAAAAATGGAATGGAGACGAGGATTTGTAATAATCCAAGAAGACAGCGAGGAAACAAACGGAAAAACTTCAATCTGGAATCTTAATTTTAAATATGTACAAGCCCTAACATTGATATATTTCCAGGAAAAAGTAAAGTGAATAATGGTACCCATTCTAGTTTATTGTGCCAATAACAATTAACAGGTATCTGAAACTCTCCTGATATGAATGGACGTTGTTATCTTGACGTGAATGTGTTTCAGAATTTTTTTGTAAGTTTGTAAGTAAGATAATTTTAAGAAAGTGAATTATTTGTGATTTGCATTTTATTGGAGCCATGGTCTTTTTGCTCATAGCAGAGAAAAACAGTAAAATATATAATAAATAATACATATAGTTAAATTTTCTTGATGTCATATATGGGCAAAATATGACTAACACCTAAATTCGACCCGTTTGAATGTGACCTAAATGTCCGTAACGTTTATTGTAAGATATGTGTATAACCTATGGTTTTGCCAAGTTGGTCAATTGAACAAAGTCGATCGATTGTGGCACGCACAGCTGATGGTGAGTCGCTTCAAGAACGCCTCCTGCCTGCAAGTGCCCTTTTCCCAGCTGACGCAAAGCCTTCTGAACGGCACCACGCACGTGAGCGGGAACGCCTGGTGGCAGAAGCCCGGCAGCCCGGCGGGCTACCTCTACCCGCACAGGCTGGACGACCTGTGCGTCGTGGTGAAGAGACGGCGTCGGGTGCAGCAGAGCATCCTGCAGTCCTTCTCCGCCGACACCTGGACGGCCACAGGAGCCACCCTCGCCGCCTTTGCAGGCGCCCTTCGGCTCATCGGCCGCAGGTACGGCCCCGTCATTGGCATTACGTCATCTCGACGAACCGTCATATTACACCTTCCTTTTATAATGTCTGGTTCATTTCATTCCCACTAGGATTTCACGAAACCATGAACTACTACTCGTAAAATATCTCCATTGTTCCTGCTGTATTCTCGATCCACCCCAATCAGGTTTTTGTCCAGAGACATAGAGAAAATGTTGAGATGGCCCCTTGTTTTGCTTCTGGACGTAAATGTAGCTACACTACGCGCACGTTTTGTTGAACTCTCCTTTTGCTTGTAGTGGTAGAAGTAGAGGTAAGAGCGAGTTATTATTTTGTCAGTAATTCAAAAAAAAAATCTGTAGTTCGCTTACCGTTGCAAATGAGTTTTCTATAACTCAGTAACAAAAATTTCTAGTTTTTCAAGTGTTGCAACTGTCGATCATTTTAAAAAATATCAAGATTATTTTAAATTTTAATCATTTTCAATTATTTATAGTTAAAATGAGCTGAGATTATCTTCTCCCCCATACGTCACATACAGTTTTTTTACTGTTTTTTGACTAAATAAATCTAAATTCGCAGATACACTATATTCATATTAGGATTTAAATAAATTGTCTATTTTTGAAATACCTCCGTTCTTCCTGGTATGTGGAGTTCAGGAATATCCGTTTGGCAAGTAGATCTTTCGCAGCATAGAATTTTACACGTGTGTCTTTACAATAATTGCGTAACGAATATTTTAAATATTAAAAGTATAAATTACGTACGACGTTACGTTACTTTTCTGTTCGTTATGTTAGTCCTCTGTTCATAAGTAAATTATTCCTCTTTTACTTTCTCGTAAAAGTACGATAATTTGAGAAATCGTGAAGGAAAGGTCTTTCAAGCAACGATAGATAGCACCCGAGAAGAGGGTAGGCCAGTACAGAAAAGCTATCCCAGGCTAAAGAGATCAGGAAAGTGTCTAGTAGGTGGAAGTTTGCATCATTCTGTAGTCATACCAGTTTCATTTTTTCATCCATACGTAACACTGTTTCTCCAAGACAACTGCTGAACCTTAATAAGTTGTATAAATTGAGCATCTCTACTGGCTTTAACTATTCTATAACTAATTCTACTGTTGAGCGCTTTTGGAGAATATACCACATGCACAGCAGTCAATGATGAACGCAATTTGGTGACCATAACCGGAAGCACTTCGCTTGCAGGAACGTGTTCCTCGAGGTCGTCGACGCCTTCATCAACGGGGGCTTCGTGGCCCGAGAGAGCGACCGCCGTGCCAACCTCCTGCTCCTGCTGCTGAGCGCCTTCGGCCTTGTGATGGTGAGCGCGTTCACCGGTCGCTTCATGGGCTTCTTGGCGGTCCTTGGGGAACCCCATCAGATGCAGACGCTCGTGGAAGTCGCTCGCCATGCCTCCAGAGTGTACGGACTGGAGTACATCCCGCCGCTCTTGAAGGACGTCGAGAAAAATGATGTGGTTTGGAAACTGGTGGCCAAGTAAATATGATTTATAATTCTTTGAATATTAATTATTATGATAGTCAACTTTATGTTTTCAAGTTTGAGATACATTTGTGGCACAAAACATGAAACAGCACTATTTACAATTTACCGAAAAATTACCTTCCAGAACGTTGCTCACACTATTGCGAATACATCATTTGATTTATAGACCGTTAAATTAAAATGAAAAAAATAAAAAGGAAAGCAGGAACAATGTCTAAAAACTTGTATTCATGTTTTATATTTTGTCTTAGGATACCGCGATTTTGTAAATGTGATTTCGTTTATTGTCCCAAGCACTTTTACCACGGAAATTATTTGACATGTAAGCTATTGTAGAGGAAGTATTGATACATTTTCATACATTATGTTTCCATTGACGACCCCTGGGGGAAAACAAGCTGTCGCGGAACGATTCTCAGCTGCCGCCAGACCAAGTTGATTTTAAGGCTTTTTGTCTAATAAGCACTGAAACGCTCATTTCGACACCTGACGCTCTTTATGTTTTTGTAACTTCTTTTTTTAAGACTGAATTTTGTTACTTCGTGCATTTTTATCATTTTTAAGTATTTACAGTATGTTAAAAATTGAATCGTGTAAAACTGTTTCATGAAAAATTAATTGAATATAACCTAGAACATTCCCGAACTTGGATTCCACAACTTGGATACTGTCTCAATCTTGTAATTTCTTTTGCATATATTCCCACATTGAAAAATTTTAAATAGGACTCCTACTATTTCGGTTGTCTTTTTAACAAATATGCAAGCATTCCTTCTGTTTTGCAATGTTTTTGAACATGTGGTATCAATACAAGCAAAGTCATTTGAAGTATGAGCTGTTCCGTCATGGTAGAGCAAATACATCACTAAGTTTCGAAAAGAAAATTATTGTTACATGAAAGAAAAGCACATTTTTTCAAATAATCCATATGAAAATAAATGTTCTTGTTTATTTATAAATAAATTTTCGGGTACAGGAGAGCATTTTGACTCCAAATGGTAATAATATGGTCAGATATACTTATTTTTATTCAGTCCTGTTTACTTATTTTCGAATTGAAAAGAGACATTTGAGGAAAAAAATAACAGACAATTTCTCTGATTGTATATGAAAAACATTTTTCTTGAGCATGAAGAAATTTAATTACAAACTAGCCGTATTATATATCAGAGGAGCAAAGTTGATATGTCTGCATTTACCTCCCAAAGTCAATATTCTTGTATTTAAACAGTACATGGCATAAAAACAGAATGAAAGCAGCCAACAATGGTTATTTCAAGTTTCCTTTGGCGTAAAACCAACACAAGTTTGTGACATTTATAATTGTTTATTTGTTCATTTAATTATTTAATTACCCTCAACAGAGAAAATCCCCAATTAGAGTAGTTATTACAAGATAAAAAAATCATTAATTTCAAATGAAATCACAGAAATTAAGTGACAATACGTTTTTTACAAAAACTGATAAAAAATTATACACCAGTAAGATTAGCAACAATAGAAACATATATCTTCAAAACAGTCATTAGAAAAAAATAATAAAAATGAGCATACAATGAAAATTATGGAAAAAATATGGTTACAGAAATGGAAGACGCATCTTCAAAATAATCTACACATAATAGCGAGCAACATTTAATATATCCACATTTAGCGATCATTCAATACTTTATTTAAATTTGGTTTATATTTGAGAAAAGAAAAACTGAAGTCTAAATCCCACACTCTACTGGATTCCTTAAATTTAGAGGACATTCTCAAGAGTGGTGCATGTTTGTGCAATGTATTTGATTTCTTAAAATATAATAATTATCAATACATGCAAATCTTCTTAAATTTGATATTCGTGCCTTATATGACAATTATGACAGCAATTCACTATTATCTGACTGGCCATTGACTACTTTAAATATAAACAATTGTTCAGCAAAGACTCTTATATTGGAAATTGTCGTTTGATTGAATTCTGTAACTAAAATATTATAAGGAATTTCATAAGCACATTGCTTGAACGTGTTGTAATACAAATACCTCGAGAATTGTTTTTGATTTGTTTCAATTTTGTTACTTAGTTTTATGCGATAAGGAGAGCAAATAACTGAAGCGTATTCCAATTTGGCATGCACAAGACAATTAAAGAGGAGCATTAAACTGGAGGTGTTATAGAGTTTCTTGGAAGTTCAAATAGTAAAGCCAAGATTTTTAATGCTTCATTTATTATATTAAATATGCGTAATTCAGATTATGTTGAATAGTAACACCTAAGTATTTTACAAAATATACACGTTCTAATGATTCCTTATTAGTTGAGTAACTTGTTCTTAGATATGCTTTATTTCTTGTATAAGTATTGAAACAACATTTTTAATATTAAAATTACATATCATTCTCTATACCTCATCTATAGACGTTATTAATATCAGCTTGCAATTTATTTGTATCATTTCCATTTTTAATTGGCTTATAAACTTTTAAATCATCATCAAAAAGTAAACATTTTGTAGTTTGAATTACACTACGCAAATCATGACTATAAACTATAAATAACTGAGGCCCAAGATTCGAACCTAAAGACACTCGTGAGTCAATTTTATAAGATTTGTGTAGATGAAATTTAACATATTTCTCTCGATTTTTTAAATATGAACTCAATAAGTTTAACATTTGTTTTGGAAAACTGAAAAAATACAGTTTAGATAAAAGCATTTTGTAATTAATCTTGTTAAAAAACTTGTTAAAAATATGTGGAAATTGAATCAACCCAAATTCTATGGTCTACTTGAAATCTACTTGATCTACTTGAAACATACTGAACAAAATGTATAAGATTCGTGGTAATGGCTCTACCAGTAATAAAACCATGTTGGTAACCAGATAATTTTGAATTCAAAGAATTTTAATTCCTTGCGATAATACTCTTTACGTTTTTAATTGAGTATGATATCATTACTGTTAAGTAAAGAGTATACTATTTTTACTGTTAATTTTTTTTCTTAGGAACATATTTATCCAAGATACAGTTCAAACTATTATAGAAGAAATCGATGCCTTCAGGGTCTTCTAAGTCTTTAATTTTATTCCACTTAACGTGTTTAACATTGCAAACACATTGTGTGAAGTTAGCTCTTTTAAAAAATGGAACTGTAATAGGAGAAGTAGGTTTTAAGGTTTTGACATGTTACCTTCCTTTCATGTATAGTTTGATATTAATAGATTGGTGATATTTGTCTTCTTTTGAATAGGTTCCTTTGAATTCCTTTGAAATATGTTCCGCACATTTAGATATTTCTAAACAATTTGATATATTCGTTAGAATTAAATCTAGTGTTTTGGAGTATTCATTGTGAACATTATTTACTGATAGTAAATCGTGTAACACTAAAAAGTTAGCGAGAGAGCTTTCTCTAGCACTACTATTTAACAAATTATTTGTAGAACCAGTTACTTTGGACAAATTGAAATCACCTATTATTTTAAGTTTACTTTCAAACACGTTGGAGATTTAAAATGATTCGTAAAATGTCTGATAACAATCCCCACCAGAATTCGGGAAAAAATAACATTAAGTAATAATTACTTCTGCGAAGGGTCAGTTTTAGATCAAACAGTAATAATTACTTGTGTGAAGAGTCACTTTTAGATCAAACTCATCAAAATCGACATTATTTAATTCAAATTCAGTGATGGCAAAATCATTACGTACTGCAATTAATACTCCCCCTCCTCTTTTAGTAACCCTGTCTTTTCTAAAAACATTATAATCATAAGTAAATAGTTCACAACTGTATATTGATTCAGATAATCTCGTTCCCGTTAGAAATGTAAGATCATAATTGTAGCCAAGAATACTAATGCAAAAGTCATTTACCTTTGTTCTGAGTCCACAAACGTTTTGGTAATAAATTAAAATATAATTTTCTATTATGAGTACGTTCTTTTAGTTATTGTCTCAATATTTTTTTAAATATGTACAGATTGATCACCTTCACGTACCTTGAGTTCGATATTTCCCGCATTATCAACTCACAGGGTGGCATAATCCCGTTCACTCTTTTATCTTCTAGCTTGAGATAAAATTAATTTACGAAGAGGAGTAAGACCCTGGTTGATGTAAATGGGACCATTATTTGTTCCGCCAAGATGACTCATGTCTTTTCACTTTCCTTCTTTGAAGAAACTTGTCCTTGTGAAGTCTTCTAACAAATTTTACAATTATTCCCCTTCAAGTTGAATGTGGCAGTATTTTCATTCGATGACACGTATCAACCATTTCATTGTTTTCTTCAACGTTTAGAGAACGACCAATGTCTTTAACAATTTCAATTGGATTTTCGGTTGTAGTTTCCGGAACTCCATATATTTCTAACGTATTTCTTATCCGTATTCATTAGTTTATCTCGCTCTCCTACAGACTCCTGTAACTTGTTTTTCAATAATGAATTTTCAATAATTTCAAATATTTGAGTTTTTAATAAATATAATAAAATAAATTAAAAATATAAATAAACTTGATATTGAGAAACAGTACGGAAGTGCATTCCAAACGAAATATATTGGTGCATGGTCCAAGTGAAATTCCTTTAAAGGGAAGTTTCACAAGACATTTTACGAAATGATTTAGTGATAATTCGAGCTTCAAAAATAAACTTTTCCAAGTCAGTGTTGCAGATGATGTTTTAACATTTACCAATATGCGAGTCAACGTTGTGTTGATCTCTCCATACATAAGCAAGCTCACTCCCTCTTTGCCATTTCTGACGACCATAATACGTCACGTGGTGATTGTCATAGGTCAATGCGGTTTGACGTCGTACTTTAAATTACATTTATATATACATTTTGGCAGAACAAGGTGTGTAGTTCTCAAACGCAGATCATTCAGCAAAACTTTCTTTTAAGACCTTTTTTTTTCTTTTAACCAATACGAAACTACAAGAGATGATGATTCAAACTGCAAGCAAGTATCTAAATATCTATATATACTCTCTGTATCTAACATTGAAGCACACCAAATGTAATGCTATACTTATGAATACGAAAACTGAACAAGCAACGCTTTGTGCCGAAGGGATTTAAAAAGAAATGCCTGAAAGAAAAATACCAAATAGGAAACGTGACAGTCTCCTCAAGGTTTATAGACTTGTCAAAGCTAGATGCAATAAACCAGTTTGTACAGCATGCTTTGCTTTGTTCATTAAGGTTATACCACTACAAAATATATACGAAGGGTGCATTTTACAAAAGAAACACTAGTGCTGCGACTATTTTCTCTTTTTACCGAAGTATTTCAATCTCACGTAAATTCGCAGTAAGATAATGCGTTAAAATTAGAACGAGTTTTTTTATTTATTAATTTTTTTATTTTTTTATTTTTGCAGATTACAAACCACTAAAGCAGAAGAAGCGAAAGCAACGATGCTTCGCGACTTTTCATCGGAGGAGACATCGAATGCTTACATTATCTCGATGGGTCAGGCGCGAGTTTTCCTGGAGGGCAATTTATGGGACGCGTCTTCAGGGACAACCCTTGGCTATCAGGTGCCGCAATGCCTTCTATCTCCAGGCTACCGATCCTTCATGACGCAGCCTCACTGGGCCTACAAGCAGAAATTCGACACGCTTCTCCAGAGAATTGTGGAAGCGGGCATCTATCTGAAGATCAAAAGGTCACATACACACGCAACCGGACCACACACGCACGCACCCACACACACGCATCCACACTCTCACATGCACGCACACGCACACTCACAAATATCGGCGACACTTCGAATTTGCATCTCCTTCACCAGTTGCACTCGCCATTGCCGTTTCAAGATACTGCTACCGTTTGATTTGTAGATGGCACATTAGTAACGGGATTTTATTGCTTAATACGTGGTTTGATTGATTGTTTCCTGTTTTCTCAATAGTTTGTTAGAATAGTAAATGTTTTGTCACAGACGCGGGTGTTGTTCTTGCCTCAATTGAATAGCGAGACCCGACCCAGACCTAAACGTCGGTTTCGGAGGGATTTCCCTCTCCAGTTATCTCCCCCAAACAGGTACTACCCATGCGAGGCAAACTTTGAGGCTCTGCCTAGTCTGAACGGTAGTGTAGTGCAATTACATTTCAAGGGTGTGCAAGGGGAAAGGAAAGAGAAAAAGAATAGATCGCGCGTTGTCCGTGGCCGGTTGTTACAGTAATTATTTTGGGTTTGTTGTTGTTGCCTGGATAATTAATGTGTGTTCTGTTTACACTTTTCGGTCTCTGGTAGCTTCTTAATATATAAAAAAAGAATTCCAACTCAAAAACTTATTTGAATTAATGATTGTGGAAAGAAGGGATAAAATTAGTGGTCATGATTGAAAATCGGGCACTTAGAAATATTTACTTGACGAAATTACAAATATGTGTATTTTTTAACTAATGGCACCTGATTTTAAATCCCGGGTTATAATTAATACAAAAAATATGCATTTACAATAAATTACATTAAATTTGAATGGTCTTGAATGAATAGAAGATTCGTAATCTCTGTAACCGATATTAGCTACTGGTTACCGTTGCTTATTTGTAATTATTAATTTTTGAATTGTTTGTAGCATTATTTCACACTTGACAAATATTGTAGTAATGTGCAGTATCTTTTTCAATAGTGTTATCTGTTCCGATTTAGCACAATACCTCATTTTTTTGATGGTAGGGAATGGCGATGATATTTGAAGGTACTTGTTTGTTGCTGAAAGTGTACACAAGTTTTAAAATATGAAAACTTTCCATTGAATTATAATTAAAGTTGAATTATAACTAAAAAGGATGCCTGCGTCGTTGCGTGATTTACACGAATGCTGCGTTGTCTAGTTTTGCGTTTGAAAAGAAATTTGGTTAGATGCTGCCCCGTCAGTGCGTAGCGCTGAAAAAATTGTTACAAAACACTTGTTACTTAATTAACTTAAGATTATTGACCTACAGGGCAAAAGTTTCTAAAATACTCCGTATGTATGGTCCTGTTGCTGTGGGGACGATGACTATTCTTGTTTTTTTGTCAATCTCCGGGATACGTTTTAGTTATCGTTCTTAGTTTCCACGTTGCAGAGGCTAAGATATCTGCTTTGAGTGGTACTATTGCATCTTCTTTGAGATTACGACGCGATTTATGCCTCTTGTTTATCTTTTGTAATGGCAAGATGTAATATTGAGACCATTGTCCTTCTTGACCTGAAGGCGTTTCTTTTTATGCTCCGGGAGAAGTGCGTTAGTTAATATGGTGTTCCTAACCTTTTAGTGAAAAGATGGAGAAGGGTCACAGGTCATGAATCCCGAATGTCCAACGTTGTAAGGCCTTATTGGACTACGTAAAGAAAATCTTCCTATTAGATGTGTGGTTAGTTTTTTCGATTCTAGTATTTCGCCTCTTTGTAAATTTATGATCCCTACTTTTAATTCTACCACCCATTTTAACCCTAGATTTAAATTGAATAATTCTTTAGATCTCATTAATAAAATTAAAGATATTGATGTTCCCCCAATGCAAAATTCAAAAGAACTTTTGATGTGAAAAATTTATTTACTATAATTCCCCCTAATGAAGTGCAAAATATTTATATTTATCACATAATGAAATAAAATCTATCACACTTAGAAAAAATAGACTTTATCAAACTACTTGACGTATGTATAGCACATAATTTTTTCACTTTCAACAAGTTCTATTCTCAAACAGAAGGATTAGCTATGAGCTCCAACGTTTCCCCTCTTTTTGCTGAACTGTTTATGGGTTATTTAAAAAAATATATTTAGTAGCTTGAAAACATTATTTATTTTTACAGGTATGTCGACGATGTTTTTGGTCAGGAACATTTAGGCAATTCAGCCAGTTCTTTGATTTTATCAATTCTTTTCACTCCAAATTAAAATTCTCGATGGAAATTGAACAGAACCATTCCCTGAATTTCCTTGATTTAACCATCACTATAATAAACTCAAGACACAATTTTAAAATATTCAGAAAACCTACTCATACTGATACAATCGTACCTTCCCATTCTAATCATATACACAATCATAAATTTGCTGTTTTCCTCGCTTGGATCAACAGGCTATTCCAGGTTCTTATGACTGATATAGATTTTAGTAAAGAAGTGAATACCATTCAAACCATTGCATTAAATAATGGTTATGTTCCTCTGACAGTCAACAAACTTATCCGCAAAAAAGGTGCAAAAATTATTTTAAATATGTTTTCCTCAACATTGCCCTATAGATCCAAAGAAATTTATTTGCATCCCCGACATAGGTCCTGTATCTAAACGTATAGGACCATGTTTCACTAAATACAATATCTCAGTAACCTACAAAACCCTAAACTCCCTCCAATATTTATTCCCTAGTTCCAAATCATATATCTCCCCATTGAAACAAGTAGAATTTATCACACAACTTGTAATAACTGTAATTCACCATATGTAGGCCAAACAGGCAGAAAATTTTCATTTAGAATTAATGAATATATTAGATGTTGGAAACAAGATTTAGACACTTCCATCTTTGCCAATCATTTCATTCAATTTAACCCTTCCTTTGACCCCAATTATAATTTTAAAATCCTTCACCTAGTCAACCAAGGCACAAAAATTAACATTTTGGAGAACTTGGATATTCTAAAACTTTTCAAAAATACTAATTTTTCTGTCTTGAATGAACATTTCTTGATTAAAAGCAGTCTCATTCTAAATATTTTATTAACTAGTCCCTAATCATTCTTTTGATCTTTCCCCCCCTTTTTTGCAATCTCTTTATCTAGTCAAATTGTTCAAAATTTTTTCTTTATATCATTAAAATTCTAGAATCTTGCACATTCCTAAGTTTCTGTTCTGTTTTACATTCCTGTATGTAAAACAGTCATTTTTAAGTCTGTTTATGACTACCCTTTCTTCTTCTATCTCCCCACTTTCCCTCAATTGGTAGGCTTCCTATTCTCCCATTCCAAAAGATGGCTGCCACCTAGCTGTAACTAGCATGTTCCAGTTTTATTTTTTGACCATGTTGTGAACATTGAGAGATGGTCCACGTTGTTTGGGCAGTAAGTATTTTCAATTTGTATTTATATGATAATTTTTGTTTGTTTTTTTCTCTACATTCACTGTACCCTCCCCTCTTTTTGTGTTCAACTTGTGTTAATGTTTTTATTTCTTCACCTTGCTAGAGAGCCACTGAGGGTGGGAAAAGTGTTTTACCGAAGGTTAACTCTGGAAAATTATTAATAAAAATTATTAAAACTTTTGTGGACATTATTTCCTTTACCATATAATTGAAATATTGTTGATCATCAGTTAATGAAACTAATGGTCATGAATTTAGTATTGCTTCTATACCACATGTTAAAGAAGTTAGTTCCTCGAAGAAGAAACAATTAAGGATTTGGTTACCCACTGTTGGCTTGAGTAAATAAATTTTAAAGCTTTTGACTGCTGCTTCCCATATTCCTCCTACATGAGTACTGCGTGAAGGAATGAAATGCCGTCGGACTTGTAAATGAGCAGTGGCGTTTTGAATTTGATGATGTATTATTTTTCTTATAAAAAGTTCAGTAGCTCATTTAATTGTTTGCATTGCTTACAACCCTACATTACCATTCTAGGAAGACCCATCAGTGCACATGAAGTTATAGCCGGGATACATGGATTTAGTCTCGTGGAATTCCGCCAAAAATGCACTGGTCGAGTTGAAGATTTGTGGAAGTGTATCTCAAGTCTATTTTAGGCCCAAGAAGACTCGAAGGGTGAACAAGATTTCGGGGAGGGGGGGGGGCGGTTCAAACGGATGTGAATTTTATATCGAGTTACTACAAGAGCATGTAAATACCTGAAGGATGGGGTAACGATGGTCTGAGTGCATATGATGTATAACTTGAGTGAAGAACGTGTATATATATATATATATATATATATATATATATTAATGGTTCGAAGGAGATTCAATGGTGATACACAGCGGCTGTTCAAGTTTTGAATCTGCTTTCGCCATGTTAAACTCTTGTCAAATGTCAGGGCAAAGAAAGTGACAGATTCGACGAAGGGAAGTTGTTGACTCCCAAAAAGGATCAGGATGATTATGGAGGTAATATATTATACAGAAGTGCATGCACATGAATTTTAAGACGGAGAACTTGAATCCAGTTTTATCGCTCCATTCTTGCACTTTGTTGAGAACAATCTTTAACTGCCTCTGAATAACTTGCATACTCTTGAAGGAGTAGAATATGGGAAGGTCATCAACGAAGAACGATGCTTTCACAGACTCTGAAATTCCTGATGCGATACTATTGATAGCAAATGGCAAATAGAGTGATACTCAGAATTGATCCCTGGGAAACACCGGTGACTTGAGGATAATGTCACCAAGCCGGACGCGGAAATATCTTGACGAAAGAAAACAGCTACCCCCACTCCCGCGATAAAGTATGCACTACACCTACAAGACTAATGACCTTGGCAATTGACTCACCCGAAATCACCAATCAATCAATCATCCTCTCCTTTTCTATCCTTTGACACAGGTTGACGTGGAAACGGACATTGTTTATAATATCTTCTGATGCCCTTCTCTACCTCATGCTCTGTTCTAAGAGCGCTCCTAGCTTTCCTTCCTTACGCAGCCATTCGTTAACTTTTTAACACATTTCTCCTCAGCACCTTCGCATCGCAATACTTTTTCCATGACCTCCTCTGCGAACCTTCTTTCTCAATTCGCTGTTTTGTCTATCCGATTCAGCGCTCTGCTTCTAGCAAAATTTGAGATTAATGTTGTTGCTGGTTCTACCATACTTGCTTACCCCGCCTGTACCACTATCACTACACTTTTATATCTTCTGCTACACGTTGCCTCTGTATCACTTCAGTGCACTGCTGCAGGACATTTTGTAGATGTGCAACATGCACCACGACAAGTCGTGAATTTTGCTTTTGCTTGTCTGCATGCAGAGGTGGAATTTGATAATCGTATGTAAAAAGACGGTGTTGTTGTTACGTCTTGGTTTTGTTTATTCTTTGCAGTGACGTATGGTTCACGTATCGGGCGAAGGCACTCGTGCGCCTGGGTCCTGCGCTGCCCTCGTCCGCCTCCCACGCGCCCGCCTCCGAGGAGCCGCAGTCCCTGGGGCTCTCCGCGCTGGTTGAACCCGCTGCCGTCCTGGGCGTCGGGGCGCTGGCGGCCACCATTGGGTTCGCCGTGGAGGTGCTCATGGGAACACTGGTCTCCTCAGTATGACTCCTACTCCGTGACTACTACCACCTACAGCCTGGGAAATGTTTCTGTCTACTTGACAGCGGGGGATGAGGTAGAGCGATGTAGCCACTTACTCGGGAGATGGGCCCGTGGCTGTGTGGTCGTTCTTGCATCAGATCAGAAAAGTGGCAAGAAAAAATTGCAGTAAGAGCACACAACTGTGGAAGACATAGAACCGCACACACGATTAATACACCAAGAAGTGATGGAGTATTTCAATTTTCAGTTGCTTCGCGCTGTAAAATTTATTTTTTCGGTACCTCTGCAGTGATGTCATTAGAACTTGAATCCTGTGGTTGCATAACGGAACCCTCTCTCTGTTCACCTCCAGTTGTCAAGTAAACAGAAATATGACTCGGGAAATACATTTTTCTCTCATGTTACTCATTAGGCCATTTATCCGCTTGCGTCCAGATGGTCGCCGAGCCATGGAACGACCAGTGGAGATCACGTGGTGTCAGTGTCGATTTTTTGAAGCGCGCCAGAGAACAAGGAGGGCTGGGTAGAGGTTGGACAGAAGCTTTGGTGCGGAGAAGATAAGAGGGGACAAGAATATAATTGGAGAGTGGAGACTTACCCAAGATGTTATATGTTGGCCCCTTAAATGCAATTTGAATTTGGTAATTAGTGGCTTTCCACGCGCGCCCTTGGGGGGTGGATGAAGTGAAGAAGGTGTTGGAAAAAATCTGATTGTGCGAGTTGGAGTCTCGTGGAAGGAACGGGTTTTGGCACCAAGTGGTTGTGATATCTTGTCCACCATCCTTACACAAGGTACGTATGCCTAATGTTTAGTCAGCGAACCCATGCGTATATCAATTTTATTGTAGAACTTTCTCTAACGAGTTATTTCTACTGAAAAAGAAAATATAAACTTGCGTGTATCAACAATGCACGCAAAATCGTTGTTTGAACACTATTACACTTCCCAAAAGTATCTGTCATTTCTTAATAACCACCTACCTATCAAGAAATAAACCGGTCTTGATTGCTTAAAGAGTTTACAGTGATAAAGCAATACTGATATACGGGAGATATTCTATTTTGTTGTTCCATCATAACTATCAGTAAACTGCTTTAAAACTTGTGCCAAAGAAATGCACTTAAGACACGTTTAAAGAAATGTAGTTGAATTTTGTGCGATTAACTCGCACAGAAGGAAACAGAAAATTTAAAGTCCAAAATTTTATCTCATATCGTTCAATGCGTATTCTGTAGGAGTAAGAAAGAGATATACGTTTAGAAATTTAGAAACCATCCCATGAACGTGGAAAGTACAAGAAAACAATATTACAAAAATATTATTCAATGTTTGTTTATAATTATTGTGTAACAATTGATGATGAACCTTCATAATTTTTTCTCAAATTAATATGTATTAATGATCATGAATTTCTTTGTCATTTCATAAAAGAAATAATAAAGACTTGTTGCACCCACAAATGACCGAAAAATTTCACAAATTTGTATTGCCAATTTTAAATAAAATATAATTTGAAAAACGAAGTTGCTATTGAAACTTGAACTGAAGGATGTAACAGACACATAAATACCGAATTTCCATATTATATGATCAAGAACGCTGTCACCTCCCGTGATGAAAACCTTCACTCCACGTACAGGAATAGTTGCGGAAACACTAAATAATCAGACTTATATGTTAGTAATGAAATAAATCGTGTTGTTTAAATTTCGTAAACTGTCATCGCACCTTTTCAGGGAAGTGTCTGTGTACGGTAATGATCAATGTTTTTAGAATGAGCTGAGTTGTGAACTCTGAGCCAGCCGGTCTTGAAGTTACATGCTAGATAATGGAAACGTGTAGAAGAATGGGTGTGTAGGGATTTAGAGATGTACAGTGCAGCGTGTTGCAGAGGTTGCAAGGATTTCCTCAGACAGAATCCGCACGGTACATTGATATATTGGGCGCCGCTATGCGCGCTAACGCATGCTTCCTTACCTCGTGCCTACTTCCCTCTCGTGCAACTGAAATACACTACAGTAGCAAAGCAAATTTTGTCTCGGGAGAAGTACATGTCATTACCGGGTTTCCTTTGATATGTCGAAAATTTATGTGTTTAATACCAGTTTTCATTTCATTCCGCGTGATAGTGCGTTTGACATCGGTTCTACTGAGCATGTGATAGATTTGTTGTTGTACTGTGGAAAAAATCATTAAAAGTGTCATGTAGAGACTCAGTGTACTAATTTTTGTTAAAAATGAATCCTGCAAAAGTGTAAACAGTACTTTGACTACTGACAAACATATTTCTTTTGACAAAATGCAGGAAATGAAAAAGTTATAACCATAGAAACCTAGTTTAGATATAACACAGACTCAAATGTATATATCTTAAATTAATTTGTAGTCAGTGGGTTTGCCGAAGGGAAGGATAGATGACTAGACATAGTTTATAAAGCTGATAACTATGGTAAGAACAGCATTGGTTTCAATCTTTTCTCATAAATTAATTTATGTGTGTTCATAACATTTAAAAAAAATGTTTCTCTTTGTAAAATTGCATCTGTTATCAAATAGTGTTGTGAAGACAAGTCTTTCAATCCGTTACTTACAAATCGGTCAAATGTTAATCGCTCAAAAATTCGTAAAGCTATATTTTGCCTTCGTTGAAAATCTATTTTGAAGAGAGAAATGCCCAGGGACACATGCCGCCTTCTTCTAATTTTCCATCCCCCCCCCCCCCCTGATGTCCACCGACATTTCGTAATCTAAGTGATTGTTTGGAATAATGGACATTAGATAGGATGAAAAACGTGAAACAAACCCTGCGAAGTTGACGCTATAATATTTTCTTGATGTCGACAATCTGAAACCATAACCTATAAATTATTGGATTCCTCTTTCATTGGCAGATTCCTGTTTCATTGACAATTATAAGGACTTTGAAGGTCATTGGTGAAGGTAAATTAGTAATGATAGAAAATAGCAAATACTTCCTTCTATAAATTTGTTTACTATTTTCTAGAATTGGGGTTTGCTTCTCGGATTTTTCCATCCTCTGCCTTGCTGCCAGCTATCGGAATCTAAAAGACCTAACAGGTTCTCCCACTGTATCTACCGCTCTCCAGGCGATAATTTTATCATTTTCAGTAAAGAGGTCTCTCGATCCTCAAAGATCATGCCGATGTTGACGTTAGCCTCATCTCTGTCCTGAACATGCAGATAGTGATTCATTAGATATCTATAAAACCTTTGAATAAGCTTATAACTTGTATCTGAACTGACAAGAGAGGAAGTGTCTACAAAAAACTTAAAGAATAAATAATTTTCTTATTTGGGTTATAGTGTTCTATCTACCGACCTTTGCAAGGTGAGTTTTAACAAAGCACGTTGTTCTTGCCAATATTTTTGTCTTGGTTACTAGAAAAAAACCTATGTGTATTTTACATTTACTAATATATTGAATTACTGAATTTCTTTTTCATAAAAATGAAAACACTAATAAATATTTCCAAAATTGAAACTTGAATAATCACTCTCCTCATTTGAACTGTATTGGATACCATTTTTAACTTGCATCAATACCACTTTTAATTTCCGAGCAATATATTGTTTAGCCGTAGCGTTGCTAAGAAGCTAAATGAGTGTTTGTCATAGGAAATTAAATTAATTTAAATAAATTTATTTGCAAGAAAATAAACAAAATGGTTTTAGCAATTCAGTCTAACATTTTTTCTCTTATAGTTTAAAGACATCCCCAATAACAATGACACGACACAAAAATTCTATACATTTTGTGCAAAAATCAATTTGAAGTTTGAAATCTACGGACTGCTCTCCTTTTTTTCAAAATCGTCGGAGTTCAGTCCAACACCCTGCATTTAGAATTTCTTGTGAACTCGGGGCTGAGCTATTTCAGTTCCATGGAGAAGTGGGGACACGGTCGAGAGTTATGTTGGAGTTCATAGAGAGATATTAAAATTTTTATTGCAGGCAACGGCAGCAATGGGTTTCTGGCACAGCCTTACTCATATGACTCACCTAATTTAAAGGGTTCGTGGCTGTCTCCGAATTTAAAGGGCACATATTCTCCTGTTGCGATACCAAAGCCGTACTCGGGCCGATGGAAACACAGTAACCCATCAACAAGTGCAATATTTGCACAAACGAATGGAATACTTACGCGACTCTGCCTCCTTTTTTCAATTAATACTCACATTAATATATTTACTTTGAAAATGTTTAATGGATGGTTCAAGAATTTTGTATGTATTGCAAAAATACACAAATTTCACATTAAGAGTACTTTGTTCCGAAAAATGAGTTCCAACTCCCAAAATGCAATTCGTGAAGAAAATCATCTTCCTTTTTAATTTAGTCGTTGTGATTTATATTGCCAACACAAAAACTCATGTGCCAAACAGTGTGTTTCTATTTACAAAGTGCCTTACGTTGGTGATAGTGCTACTTCAATAAGCGTGATATCTTCACACGAATAATATAAGAGTTACTTTCTTTATTATGATTCATTATTAATTTATTATAATATAGTTCATTTAAACTGTTGTAGTTCGTTCTATTTTAAATGTTGCTGATCTGCATGAAACTGCCCTTGGGTACTGCATGTCGCCTTTTCAAATCCTCGATTTTAATTTTAATCTTCTTTCATTTGCAACCTAAGTCTCCCTAAGCCTTTTTGCCCCAATGTTCCTTCTGCCTCTCCCTCTCCCGTGTGTGTACATCTCACGAAGATTCCTTCTCCCTCCACACTCCCGGTGCCTATTTTCCTCTTCAGTTGCCGCCGCAATCTGCGCTCTCTGCCGCCCACGCCCCGCTGTGGCGCGACCCCCCTTTTTTTTTATTCCGGGCGGCAAATGCCGCCGCGCATACGTTACGCCGCAAAATATTTTTGCGCACGTCGCACGCGGAGCGCACGCGTGTTCATTCCCACGGGCTCCGCCACGCGCGCTTGCCAACTCACGCGCACACACCCTTGCCCACACCCACGATCTCATCACCACCAGCCACGCCCACCTCCAGACACGCCTCCTCCTGCCAAGCTTCCGTTAACCAATGCTTCCTCGGCCCATGCCATTCTCAGTCCACGCTCTCCTTCACCCGCGCCCCCTCCGGCCACGCTCCCCTTCCCTGACGCTTTCTCACCTCACGCCCCCTCCGGCTACGCTCTCCTCCGCCCACGCTGTCCTCCACCTACGCTCCCACCGCCTACGCTCTTCTCAGCCCATGCCATCCTCAGCCCACGCTCTCCTCCATCTACGCCCCCCTTGGTTCACGCTCAAGTCTGCCAACGATCTCCTCCACCGTCGCCCCCTCCGGTCACGCTCTCCTCAGCCCACGATTTCCTCCACCTCCGCCCTCTCCGGCCACGGTCTTCTCCGCCCACGCCATCCTCAGCCTATGCTCTTCTCCACCCACGCTCCCTCCGGTCACGCTCCCAACACACTTTCTCTTTAACCCACGCCTTCCACCGAACACACCCCTCTTCCATCTACACTCACGTTCGCCTGCCCCTCTGCCATCCCCTCCTTTGCCCAACTCCGTCCTGGCCCACACACGTTCACGTCCTCTTCAACCTCCATTAGGGTATGTTAATATATCGTATATGCTCAAAAAGTGCCTTAAGTGCCTTTGTTGTCATTTGAATACCTTGAGCAGTTATAGTTCCTGTAAACAGTCAAGTAGTAATAATAAAATAGTAAAAGTTCCTTAAAATAGAATGTCGTTTATAATTACATTAAACGTGTAATTTATAACTACAAGCATTTGCAACATCAAATACTTTAATTGACAATTAATGAAATATCTCGAATTCTCCAAACGTTATTGAAAGAGTTATTGAACGCAAAATTGAGCATATTCAGAAACGGTCAAATTATATTATTTTTGAAAATCGCACCTCATTTTGTTTCGAAATTTTCCAGTAGAAAATACATTTTCTTTTCTATGATATTTTTGTAGACTTCTTTCAATTAAAATTATTAGAAGACCAAAAACATGTGAAATGGTGTAAAAAATATACGTGTTTTTCGATCAAACAACTATTTTTAATAAATAAGTATTACACGAACAGAGACTAAACCATTGTATTTATTAGAAACATCTGCAAGTGCCACATTCTACAATATGTACTGTGATGTTCATTAATTGTGGGAAAATTGTTCATTAATGATAGTCTGGATGAGAGAATTTAAAGATAAAAACATTTTTGACATTGTTGCGATGAAAAGGAAAGCTGTTGAACATCATCAGTCTAGATGTATTTCATGATGCAAAGCACATCATTGGTTATGAGAGCATCAATAATTTCGAATTTACTTATATTTTTTTAATTTATGCATTTAAAATTAGTATTGTTTGTAACCACGAGGTGAATTTTCACGAAATGTATTTTTTCTTTTCACTTGAGAACAATGCCGTTCAGTATAGGTTTTAATTTTATATTATAACTCATTTCATATGCCTTTTTGCATTTTCCACCGTCGTGTAATTTTTGTACTTTTTCCGTCATTTGTAAAGTATTTTCTCTGATTTCATCAGTTCTAATATCAGTTTTACTTGCTTCAGATAGTATTTATGAAATGCTACAAATGTTCTCCACAGGTTTCCTGAGTAGCCTATTTGATTTTTTTCGCCCAGAAATTGTCATGTCAGCCTTCGTGAGTATGTGAGTAAGGTTCCTGTCTTTCAGCACCTCTGACAGTTCGCCGATCTCGGGATAACTGAACACAGAGATACCCTGGTAAAAAGCTGTCCAAACCAAAAGTTTACAAGCTGAATACACTCGAACGAAAGGAAGAAGCGTCATGACATCAGTAACATATCCAACAGTTGTTCATCTGAAATGGTTTTGATAAAAATGTTGACATCATTTTTGGATTGTAGAGCATTTAAAAATTATTTTATGGTAATATTATTGATTATTTTTGGCGATGATTTAAGTCATCAAAATCCGTCGCCTATTTAAACGCTCACAAATAGATCGGTGCTGTCGTAGCACAGAGGCTTGAAGCAGTAGCCACCAATTACGGAGAACTAAGACACTGTTCAATTCTCCCGTAAGGCTTGGTTGTTTTTAGTTTTGTTTGTGGCGTTGAAGACATTCCTAATCCTTTGTAATTCTTAATCACTCGGCATCTTAAACCTTCAGAAATTCCCAGCCCTATCTGACATAAGTGTGTATTATTGGTAAATTATCTGTCTGCATCGAGAATGACGCAAGCGTCCGCATGAGCTCAAGGGTGCCAGAAATTAGCTCTAATATACACGAAGAACGAAATATATTTTACTTAAAAAACTAAAATATTACAATAATAAATAAACATTATATCAACACTTAAATATCAACGCGTAGGAGTGAAACAGAAACATGGAAATTAAACATTTGACGGGGTTTTGTTCATTGAAAATGAATGATCTGACAAAATCTGAAGTTTTCACATCCGAGCAGCAGCGTTGTCAGCTCCAGACAATGCTCTCGATCCACGAGAGTTCCGATTTCACGCGTGCGTACACGCCAGGAGTCCGACTGGCGCACGGCCGCCCGCCGAAGCTGGTCACGCCCACCAGCACATCGCCCTGCGGCCCTCGTGCAGCCAGCGGGCCTCCGGAGTCACCCTGAGCACACAGAAGCACACGGTCATTGAAGTCACTCCAAGCTCACACACTCACAAACACGTTCACCCACACAAGAAACAGCATTTGGTAGGCCATTCAAGGTTAATGAACGATATTAAACACACTTATTCACAATGTTTTATCCTGATCATGTGAAAAGCGAAAAAAAAAATTATCATATTATTATAGTCTGGAGCACTGCTGAGCTCAGTTTAAGGCTGGTCCTAAGAAGCATATGATATGGATAAAAAAAAGGGTATTTGTATATTCTCACGCTTCGAGTATATATTTAAGAAAATTAATTTTTCACACTGTTATGCCGTTTTAATAAAGGAAAAACAGAAAAAAAACACTTGCTTAGTGAACACTATTAATAAGGTTAGAAATTGTGTCCAATATGGTTGATGCAGTATGCTGAGCTGCTAAGTTTCCGTAGCCACTGCGGATGCTCGTCTTTAAAGTCCGATTTCTAATATTTTATAGCACTTCAAAATTTGGATTTGGCGGTTTTGCACGGTGTTTTATCAGCTACTGAAATTTCTTGTGTAAGAATTGTTTCGGAATACTATTTTCCTACTAGTTTTTTTTTCAATAAGAAAACTGCGTTACGAAAGATATTTAACGACCCACGACCGATAATACAAACAAAACTAGTTTGGTTATTGGCTGTTTACGTCCAAATAACGTTAATAATGTCATTTACCGTGCAAGTATCTGCCTGCCGCTGGGGTTCTGCAGCGCAGATCATAGTGTCGTCGAGGCCGCGTGGGAGGTCCCGTCGCTGCTGGATGAAGGTCCTGCACTGCTCCATCTCCACCACTCGCAAGTCGGCCTTCTTCAAGCTGTCACTCCTGTCGATTCCTGTGAAAAAAAATCACATCCATTTAAGTGCGTCGACAACAAATATCGACAACGATGTTTTGAGAATTATATATTACTTTCTCTATTTTTTTTTGTTAGTTAAGGTCGCTTCAACTTCAAGGTCTATTAGCGACCACTATTGCGTGTAACGGTATAGTAACTATGAGGATGACACGATATGATGATGATAGGGTTGTGGAAGGAAGAACACAATACAAACATGCCCGAGGCGGGTCTCGAACCCGCGATCCTTCGGTCCGAGATCGCTACGGCACTACTACCTCAGCGATCTCGGTCATCCGAACCGGCACTTTCTCTATTCTACGTATAAAAAAGAGTAAAAATGTGTCTCTACAATATGCGGCTGTACACTATTGAAGTTAAATAAAATCGTTAAATAACGATGACTTACGAGAGACCGTCCCTTCGAGATGAAAAAAAACATCTTCCAATGTCTCTAATATCCTAACACTTGCGTGCCAATGCCATCCCGTAAAACACCAGAATGAATTGCAAAATCAACGACGGACTCAAAATGAATTGGAGGAAAAATGTTTGTAATTAAGAACTAATAGTACATAAAACTGTAGATTCAAGGTTTTGGGTGACACGGATCTTTTGATTCGGTTCATTAGAGAGGTAATGATACAATTCATGCTGATGCTGACTTCATGCGAGTTAAAATGAGCCAATTTAATTAGATTTCAAAAATGGTTGAAACGCTGTCTCATTTTAACGAACCTGAAGAGCAAATAATCCTGTAAAACATATTACCACATTATGTATTGAAGGTATATTCACATATTTCTAATATGGTAAGACAAAGATATTGTTATCTTCCGTCGATAATAGTTCACCCTTAATTTGTTTCCATTCATGAAATAAGGAATAAGCTATTTCATCGTTTCCTTCTTCAGTCGTGTTCTGCTCGCCGTGGTGGCCAGACGCTCCGTCCGCTCCAGGCAAAATAATGTGCGTGCGTTTACTGAATCGGTGGTTCTCAGTTTCATGTCAAACGAGGAATAAGTATAGTGATTGTGAAGTGAAGTGAAGTGATATTGTTATCTTAGAGGAATGTTACTTTTTTAACAATATCGGAGCCATCTCAAGTTCATCAGGAAGAGAGGGTTCAACGGGAGATCAGAAATGTAAGTCTATCATTTTTTACGTTCAAATTACTATACACCTTCTCTTTGTGAAGAAAGAAATTACTATATAATACTAAAATACTATAGACTCCGCAAATAGTGCTCCAATTGTAGAATTCATTGAAAAATTATTTACTTAACTTAACCCCTCTCATATTAAGTTTCCATCGAAAATATCTACCAACGGACAGTGTGTATACCTATTCAGTAATTAAATTGCAGATCTAATCTATCAAATGTTTAACCGAAGTATCCCAAATCAAGTGATTGAGGAAACCTTATTTATACGAATTCGTATTTTGTGTTAGAACAGTAGTAACATTTACCTTCCTTCATGTGGGATTTAATAACTCCAACGTGAGTCTCAAACTCAGTTTTCGCCGCCAAACACGTTTTTCACCGGATGATGAACATAAATTATATGAATTATTTTAAGTGTTTAATGATGAGATAAAGAGATAATGACCCTCATTGGATAATGTAACTCCTGTTGTTCCTATTAGCTTTTTGTTGAAATCTCAAGAGCCACATGGCTAAAAACAGCCCAAATTCATGTAAATCTCAATTAACTAATACCCCACCTCTTCGTACAAAAGTAAGAATCACAAAATCAACTAAATATATTATTGATCATTCTACTAATATTTCTCCCGAAGCAGTTGAAATTCTAATACCGCAATGTGATAAGGTGAACTACAATGCTAGCTCTTGCTTGTGCCCCTCTCTAACCGGCACTCCTGCCCTTGAGCCGGCCGCGAGAAATGCATGTTACCGCAAACTTATGAAAACTCAGTGGAAGTTGACCTTTCCTGCAACCCCGTCAGATTAAAGAGACCGTTATGTACTGTAGGCTCGATTCTACTCGTAGAACCGACTAACAACCAATCATATAGTGAGTATGAACTCCCAGGCAATAACCCGGAAATCTTTGACAGACGATAAATTGCTGATGGTAAATACAAAATAAAGAAACAGTCATCCAAAAATTTAAAAAAACTAAAACAATCTTTTACAAATGTTGACGGCTAGACATGGATCAATACCAAAAAAATCTTGGAATTACACGATGCTCATTATCGCCTTATCTATATCATATTATTCCATTATCTATATCAAATTCAATGTTTTTATGACAAATCAAAAGTTAACTACTGTAACAATTGATAGAAGATACACGGGTAATTTTCCAAATTTAATAGCAATGTGAAGAGCTGTTTGCCCAAACGTACAAAACAGTTGTGTGAAAAATAGTTGCGCGAAATTAAAACACTACGTAAATATGAATGATAAATCTTTATGCTAGGTAACGAGATTCGGAAGAGCAGTAATCCAACTCTCCCCTTTCTTGCCATTCTTGTTGAAGATAATATAAAATAAACTAATTCACCAATATACAGTGGCTATTATGCGATGGAATTGTAATGCTTTTTTTGCACGATAGCCCTTCATCAAGGTTCTAAGTAACAAATTCAAATAGAAAATAATCTACTTCCTAGGAACGAAATTTAAATTTCAAAATTGTGACTTTGGATACAGGCATATAAAGATTCACCTTTACCTTATATTTAAACCAGAGTAACCCTTCGATCATGTTCTTAATATCAAAGGTATGTAAATAAATGGCCAATAAATAAATATGTATATCCACCCCAATAATGTAAGTACTTTAAACGAAATATTTTACTTTCCCGTATACGTACGGATATGATTTCGAGATTTCAACGGAATTACCGGCTTTTGGTCCTCAGATACAGAAAAAAAGTTTTTTTTTAAACTTCCGTCAGTCCATCCATCCGTCTGGTGTCTGAGAACCATTCGCCTAAACCATGCGTAGGATTTTTTCCAAATTGAAAAAATCCCCCCCCCCCATCTTAGTCGAGTCAAAACTTTGGTATTTTGAAAAACACTAAAAATGTGGGGGTAGTTTACATCAAGCCCTTCTGGCTTTTTCAAAATTTTCTCAACAGCTGCAATTTTTTTCTTTAAATTTATTGTAAGAATAGAGTAACATACTTTTATAAACGCGGCATAGGTCCAATTTTCACAGTTAACTATGAATTTTCGAAAATATCAAAAGTATAATCTTTTTGGGTGCCTTCTTTCAACTATAAAATTAAAGATGATTTTTCCTTCAAATGAAATTTGTTCTTCATAATTAATTCTTTTATTAAGATCATATACATTGTTTGAAAATTTTAGTAGTTTTTGTGCAGTATTGTGTGCAATATTTACAATTTTGAAAAAATTAAAAAAATATTTTCCCAACAACTGCTCCCAACTTTTTCATTCAACTTTTGGTAGGGATACTACTAAATTTACTCATGATATATAAGCCATATTACTCTACTCTTTTGTTTTTTCAAAAATTAAAGAAAATGATTCGCCTCTCTCGTTGTTAATATTCACATTACCGGCAATTTTTTACATTAATGTATTGATGAGTTCATGTGATTTAAATAATGTTAGATAAAGTTTCCCGAAAACTCATCAGTTTTTCGTGAAAATGAGTTCAAAATTTCGTATTTTCAGAAACACTCAAATGCCAATTTTTCGAAAACTGCTCCAGTTTTTTCTTCAAACTTTTCCAACATATAGTGCTAATTATTATTTAAGATGACATAGAATAAATTTTGATGCATTCATTTGATTTTTTCAAAAATTTTACAAATGTAATATTTTGATAGATCTCTCACATTTTAAATACGCACATTTGCAGCGATTTGTAAAACCTATTGCATTTGTGTCTGAAAATGCTTGAAATAACGTCATATGAAGTTTTTCAAAAACTGAAAAGTAAGTTTTCTATGAAGAGAGGTTCATATTTTGAATTGAGAGTAGTGCTTAAATGCAATTTTCTTAAATACCGTTTAACACAAACTGTTTTCAATTGCCATTTAGGGCAAGGTTACACTGTTCTTTAATTTTCTAAAAATAATATTTCCGTTCTACTCTTAGGAAGGCGAAAAATTAAGAAAATTTGAAAAAAAAATATACTTTGGGCGGCGATAGATGTCAGTTGGCAAGGGTATGTGGCAGTTCCGAATAGCTAGTCGAGACCAAAGGAAATAGAAAACTATTACGGGAATGTCTGTTTCATTCTGTAGCACTATTAGCTCTTTTAATATGTTTGTGTGAATTGTGTGTAATTGAATAATATGTGTAATCTTGTATAAGTTCGAATTGATGCTCGTAGCCACTTTTGAACCAGTTGTTAAAAAGCAACCTTAAATAAAAAGAAGATTTTTCATAATATTTTGAAATGTAAAAAGAATAATTATTTCTTTAGGTCTTTTAGCTTCCTACTGTATTTGAGAAGGAATGTTTTCATATTTTCAGTCATTTTGAAAGATATTGCACTAGCACTGCAAGTATACTCCATTGCCCCGTGTTTGTTTATTTACCACTGATAGACAACAGCCAAATATGACGGTCGACACCGCTACTTTTAATATATGAGGCAAAATATTTTTTCTATATCAGTACTATAAGCGACCTTTTCTGTTGCAAGAAATCGTTCATAATTGAGCATTTTACTACAAAAATGCACGAAGAATTCAGTCATCACGTGCATCACGTCACGTCATAATTCAGTCCCTCGCAGCGAGAGAACCTTGAAGAGGTAGAGGTAATCTGAACAGTTTACTGGCACATATATCAAATACAAGTGACCTCACAAAGTTTTTTCGCCCAATTAAGTTTGATTCTCTTGTAAATTTATAATGCTGTAATATAAAAATTAGCTTGTGCAACTCTTTTTTAATGTTGCTTCATTACATTCGTACAAATTTGAATACTCGCTCGTAACGTCACTAGTTTTCAAAACATGTGCTCGTGCAATAAAGCTTAACATTATAAAGTGATTGCATAATCTGCTATTACTTTAAATTATTTCAGTAAGTATTATTGCATTAAGCGGGAATTTAATAAAAAATGTATAATTCACGAAATGTAAGCATTTGTAGTCGCTCGGCTGGTTAATTCACTTGGCTGAAGCCTAACTTCTTAATTAAAAGGTCACTTAGATTCCTCGTATAACAAAATACTATTAATTAAGGTGGCTCTGTTTCGTGTAAGCTATTTAGGCATATCAGGTTAGTTTTTATGTGTTATATCCAACTTGGAAACTTATTTAATGCATAAGTGTACTTATGTATCATATTGTTTATTTAGCACTCATTTGCAACCGCGCAATAAGTGTACTTATGTACCCCACAGCCCTGAAGAGGGGACAATAAAGTTCCAAAACGTTAGCGAATTAGGAGTTTTCTACGAAATGACCAACATCCCCGAATTTTCCCTCGAGGCAAAATAGACCCACCTTCTGGATCTACGGCCCCCCAGCCTGCGGCCACAAGGCGAGTCTGGGCGTCGATGCGGGTGTCCGGGGCCTCCAGGCACACGGGCCGCTGGCGGGCGGTGAAGGAGACGGGCCGGTCGGTGCGCAGAAGCGCCAGGTCGAAGTACTTGAGGTCTCCGCGGTGGCGAGGGTGCAGAGTTATGTTCGCAACGGAATAGTCGGTGGGCAGTTGCGGCCCTTGGGTCAAGTTGTTCACGCCCATCCGAAGAGCTGCTGGACGTAGGTTAAATCTGTAATGAAAATAATGAAAATATGAGTGTTTAAAAAATATAAATTGCTTTTTGCAATGTGTTTTCTATCGTTTGCGTGGGGGTTTGTGAAAGGTTTATCAATTTATAATAATAATAAACAATTATTATTATTATTATTATCATGCATCATTAACTAAACTATGAACAGTAAAATATAGCCAAGTTTGATAAAATTCTATTGTACAATGTCGTGACTTGCAGCAGTTTCAAAATCCACGTAAACCTGTAGTGTCTCAATGTTATTTAGTCTTTATTTATTGATTTACGTCAAAAACAGTTAAAAACTGTGAATGACGTGCTATGGGGAGAAGTAAATTTGAAGTTACATTTATGTCCAGAAGCAAAACAAGGAGCCATCTCAGCATTTGCTCGAGGATCAGGGAAACTGGACGAAAACCTGATCGAGATAATATTATAATTAATATTTCGTTAGTCGAATTAAGATAGTATGAGTAGAAGGAGGTCGATCTATACAGCACAAGTACTTGTCCATTAGATTGATTTGCCATACTTGACGTACGGATTTGATTAGGATCGAAACTCAAATATAAATTAGAACATGCAATTTTGTGTTTTATTCTAATTGTTTGATGAATATTAATTTGGTGAACAGATTTGTTCTTGCTTAATTTTATTATGTTTTAAACAAATAGTACAAGAATATGTATTCTTTAATAATGTTCCAGTATCATTTTCATTTAAAGAGCATTAAAACCACTTTAATAGCAATTACACGTGCACATTTTGTAAGTGATTATCTCGATTTACAATTGTCATAACTAGGTCTGGGAATTATTTTTTCTATCGTATTTATACTTTAATTAAGAAGCGATGAGTCTTTATCTACAGGAAATCAATTTTTTTTCTTTTCTATATCTTGTACTTCCACGGTTCGAGAGATGTAAGGATTGGCGAAGATAGTGTAAAATAAAACAGGAGTTCTTGATAAGGTTTCGAAAGAAAACAATCATTCTATGATTACCGTTGGGCGTCGGTGATGCAGTGGGCGGCGGTGAGGACGTAGCGGTCGCTGATGAGGCTGCCCCCGCAGCCCCACACGAGGTTTCCACCGGCGCTGTTCGAACCTCTCATGTAGCCAATGGCCACCTGCGAACATCGGACTGTAGCGATAGTTCCACTCGAAATATAACGACTGTAGCTAGTTACACTCGAACTATCCGGACTGTAGCTATAGTTACACTCGAACTATACGGACTGTAGCTATAGTTCCACTCGAACTATAGCGACTGTAGCTATAGTTACAGGCGAACTCCATTTATATTAGTAGTTACTTTGCTGTCCGGGAGACGCTGCGTTCTAGGTGCAGGTGCTGCGCACGTTTCCGCCCGTTTTGCGTCCTTTCTCAGGGAGAAAATTTTCGCCCTGAGGAAGGTCGCAGAATCACGGCCGAAACGTTGACACCTGTGCGTAGAACCCGACGTCTCCCAGATATCCAAGCAGCTACTGACTCCGGTCGCGTAAGCGTACGCTTTCAATTTAGATTAAGTCTTAATACAGTATACAGTATTTAAGTTTCAAGAAGTTTTCCGAATCCACGAAGAGTTTGGTTTGATTCATGGCTGGAGGAGGGGAACATTATGTACATTAAGTATAGTCGTCCGAGTGTCACAGCAATTAGCAAGGCCCCTGTTTATCAATATTCTATTCCATGAGTGACATTTGTGATATATTTTAAATAATTAATACGTAAATTGTTACATTTCTTGCACAATCATTGCAATTTGCCGTTCTTCAGAACTAATTTCGATAATTTTTCGTTTAGATTGTTGCTGTCGGTGCTAGAGATAATACAAAACAATAATTTCTGATATACGTTTGATGCATTTTACACGTCCAAGTCGGCAACTGTTGAAACGTTCAAGAGAAGAGGAGGGAAGAGTAATTCGCAACTGTCTCTCGTGCAGAGAAGGCAGGGAGTTGCAGACGTACAGCGATCTAAAGGTCCTCGTGATTGGCGATCTGTGCACTTGCAGCTCTTTGTCATTTAAGGTCGTATGAACATCTAGGGTTAGCGACCACTATTGCATTTAACGATGTGAATATGACATGATATGGTGACGATAGGGGGAGAATGGACGAACTGAAATACACCCATGCCCGAAGCGGGACTCGAACCCGCGATCCTTCAGTCCGAGATCACTACAGCACTACTGTCTTTACCATCTAGATCATCCAGACCGGCTTGCATCTGTTGTGCGATATTCGACCAGCATAGGTGGCTCAGGACATCAACCGATGTCACTGCAGTGCTTCTAATCGCAAGATCCTAGGGCTCCACCTCCGATGCTGGCAAATTTTCAATGCCAGCTAGATAGCTAGACCAAATTCAGCATCTGTCTGGAGAAGATTTCTAGGAGCCGGCTGCTCTTATAGGTACTTTTCTGCGATTTCTTCGATCAATACCAGACGAATACTGAAGAGTACCCAAACAAACACACCGCGCGCTTGTTACATCCTCCCCCCTTATTTACACACATGTTTATATGCACAACACTACCACAAATTTCGGGAGACTAGACGGGAAAATTAGAGCCTGTTCCGGCTGAGGCGATGACCCGCTAGTGAGAGATGCCTGGTGGTGTAAACCTCACGAGTCGACGTGTAATTTGACGCCGGATCTCGCCATTCAGCGGTGGAAGATCACCGCCATTTCCCGCGATAATAACATGCGCTAAACTTACGGAAATAATATTAGCAGTTGACGCGGAATCACAAATCAATCAATCCAACATCATCCGAACATGAACTGTTTCCAAATCCGAAGATGTCTGACTATTTGAACGGCGGGACGGCACTCTGCAATAGTTACGGTATGGGGAGTATGGGTGCTAATAAAACTATTTGTGGCTTGCGCGGTTCATCTATTAAATAAAACTGTATTAAAATAATGCATACCATGTATGGAAATTCTTCTTCCAGAGCTAGCTCTCCGCCGACAACGAAAAGTGCCAGATTTGCTTGGTTGCTGGGGATTTGACTTCTTGGCTGGGACCTCCTGACCCTGAACTCCGCACACGCTGTATTTTAAAAGAGATTAATATTATAGATCATCAATGAAATTAACTTTCATGCTTCATTTTATTTAGCGAGTGCATCATTTATTAGATAACTCTAAGCAAATAGTACTTACTGCAATTATAATGATACGTAAGTATATTACTTCAAAGAAAATTAGAAGGTGGTTGGCATTTGGGGGTCACGAGGTAACTCCAGTGTCGACTTTCAACAACTAATCAAAAGATTTGGTAATTGCACCAAAAACGGTAGAACAAATGGATAGCATACTCCGAATTTTATGGTAATTAATCATATGAACGTCATTACAAGTGCCGAAAAAGAAGTTGAATGTGTAGGAAAAAGGAAATTTTGGGTAGTGTTACCTGCAAGGTTTGTTATTGTAAATAGGAAATAGGTACTAGTGAAATGCGTATGTATATATAAAGTTCGCAATATCACCGTTTTACTTCACACATAACTATAAACCATTTTCTGATTTGTTTAAAATTTTACTCTCTTACATTTTTACTCAAATTAAAGAGGCAAAAATGGGGCTTGGAAATGACGGTAGGGAATCAGAAAAAGCAAGAACAAAATTTCATAAGCGCAGACGATGGCTACCACAACCGTCTGCGCCATGGGGCTGACATTATTATTATTACTACTATTATTACTATTATTATTATTATTATTATTATTATTATTACTATTATTATTATTACTATTATTATTATTACTATTATTACTATTGTTATTATTACTACTATTATTATTACTATTTTTACTATTATTTCTATTATTACTATTATTATTATTACTATTATTTCTATTACTATTATTATTATTATTATTACTACTACTATTGTTGTTGTTACCTCTCTGGCTGGGCGAGGCCGGAGCCGGGGCGGGGGCCTGGCGGACGGGCCTGAACCTGGGCTGGTAGGGGGACCAGCAGCAGACGCGAGCGCCGGGCAGCACGGAGGCGCAGCGCGCGGGGTAGCGCCGCCGCGGAACCCACCCGTGGCCCACGCCCACCCCTCGTCCATAGGGCCCCATGGGCTGCGCGGCGCCGGGGCACAGGTCGACGGGCATGCAGCGCGAGCCCGTCGGGCACTCCTCCTCGTCCCCTGTGGGCACATTGGGGACCAAGTTAGAAAGCTCGTCTGGGAAGAAATGATATAAATCACAACATACGTTACACCTCTAAAAAATTAGTCTTCCACACGGATAACAGGATATTTGGAAAGGCTACAGAACTACTATTTGAAAAGGTTAAAGGTTATAGGTATTTGTAAAGACTAGTGCATATCCATGATAATATAGTTTATTTCGTTTTTGTACAATTTATGTTCGAATAAGATCAGCAGCGGGTTGCTGCTTTACAATATTTGGTTAAGATGTTTTTACTTCCTCATATACATACGTATATACTGAGTAATATACGTCATATAGAGAGAGCTATGTAATGCAGGGGAAAATCTATTTCGATATTTCAACGGAAATACGCATTTTGTGGTCCCAAGATACCAAAGAAGTGATTCTTTTCAAAACGTCCGTCTGACGAAAATTTCGAATTTACAGTCGTGCTTAATCGCCATTTTCTTAAAATCGGCTTGAAACTTTTCAAAAGAAATTACCATTTACGACGATATTTAACTGTTCTTTAATATTCTTAAAATAATATTTCCGTTCTACTATTAGGAAACCTAAAAATTGAGGTAATGTGAAAAAATTTTTTTTGGCTGCGATAGATGGCAGGTGGCAAGAGGATGAGCAAGACCTTAAAGGCAGTTCACGCCAAGGAAATTAAAAAAACTTTACTACGAGAAAGTTTGTGCCATTCTCTAGCACCACTCTTTCACGTTACAAAAACTTTTGAGAGTATTGTAGAGAACTGGTAATAGTATGCGCCAGGTAACACTGCATGATTCTTCACAGGAGCACTATTATAGCGAATGAAGATAAGCCACTAATTCCATCTGCCGCCTCTTGCGAGGTTCTGTCAGATTAAGTTTTGCAGAACACAGTACAAAACACTGACCAAAATCCATAAACAATTGTGACAAAATAATGTATACCGAGTCTCATTAGAAAACAGATGATGCGTTGCTGCTGCAGAGAATTCTCAGGTCGGAAAAATGTGCATGACGTGAACGGACCGCATTTGGTGGCCATTCCATAACGCCAAAGAACTTCCAGAGCCAGTGCAGTAATGCAATGACTTAACTTTCGTTTCCCGCCAAAGAAACTACCAACAAAACACGAAACACATTTCTTGAGCGCTACAATTATCATGTTGCCGAATTACTGGAGTGGAATGAAGTGTGGGTTGTACGCTTTTCCCCAGTAACTAAAGCAGTCATATAGTTGACGTCACACTGGATCTCCGACCTAAACCGACTTCAAGCAGACTTTGGTCACTTGAAAAAGATTGTTTTCGGCCTACTAAGATAGAAATGACATTCTGTTCATCGAGTTACTAGCCAGAAGTGAAACAGGGAACGCTGAATGTTACAACCCACTGCAATATTAGCTCGAATCACAAATCGTCTAAAATAGTTCCTCTGGAGAGTATTTTGACCCTATAGTCCGGATCTCGTCCCACAATCAATAATATTAGACTTTTAGCTTTATTTGTATATGAATAGTTTTTTTGACTCGTAAACTATTTACCAACAAAGTTTTTAAAAAATCGATACTTCACTAGTCACACACGTTTTCCTCTACTATTTTATCACTTTTTAAATCGAGTTCTAAAGAAGAAGATTATATGATTCGGAAAAACGAATTATATGAAGCGTAAAAGTATAATATTCAGCTAAAGAAAACTTGGCTTCTTTAGATTTAATAGTCTTTTAGTTTCGCAAATACCGGTTGGCCTTGGAAGAACGGTTTACTGAGAATCTCCAGCTGTTCGGTTTATAGTTGAGGATTTTTTCTAGTTTTTTGATAGATGATGATTGTAATTGAAGTTATTTGAGCATTGTTCAAGATTAATTTTCATTAAAAGAATTTCTTTTAAATTCTCGATAATTAATTCTATGTTTCATTACTGTCACTTGCATTTGCAATACACTTTTTTACAATCCCTATCTTCCATCTAAGCTATCAATGTTAAAGTGTAAAAGTAGCCGTGTAGATAGCAATAAACATGCATATTTATATAAAATGAGAGTTTTATATAAAATGAGAGTTTTATCTCTCATGAAACGTATACAAATAAGCAGTAAATGATTGATTACAAGTTCATTTTTATTAATGTATGGATAAATTAATTTAATTATTTATTCACTTAACGTCAATTTCTTCTCCCGTGCAATAGAAAATAATTTTATGGTAAAACAATCTACATGTTTGAATTTATAATAGTACAGTAAAGTTAATCAAACCCCTCTTTATTTGGCATCTAGAAGAACGAGAGATCAATAACGTGCGCTATTATTCTGACGTATCTATAGGATCCAATAATTATTCAACTCAAGTAAACAAATGTGTTGCAAAGTTATAACCTGACGTCAAATATATCAAGGCAGCTGAAAGTATCATGTTTGAACTCATCTCCAAAATATTTGCTTTGTAATCACTTTATAATTTTAAACAAAACAAGTAAACGTATGCAACTGGTTTATTACGGTACATTTTGCAATCAGAAGAAAGTCGAATCTCTTATCAGAAGAAAGTCTCTTCTTATGCCACCCGTTCTATAATTCTTATTTTTACAAAAATCTCTTATTAATATACTATTATACAACTGATTAATATACTATTATACAACAATGGATTAAAAATCATTTTATGTGTTCCGGAAATTAAGTAAGTACTATATTAGGAAAAGAAGTTAAAGATGCGACATCGAGACCTATGTTTTCAAAACATCGATGTTTCTATCAACATATTGATGATTTAAACATGTATGATTAAAGACGTTTTTGAACATAGATTTTTTCCTTCGTGTTCTTTTTTTACTCTTCCGATCATTTGTTCGTGGATGAAAAATTCCCACAATCACAATTTTGTACAAGATATCGAAATTTGCGTGTTCAGACGGAAGAGCGGGTCTGATGGTCCGAGTCTCGCCACGTAAAATCAAAGGCGTCAAATCATATTCAAATATTTTCGTCTCACCTATGTCGTAGAAATTAGTGAGCGCCGCATGGCCGCCAACCACTGCACCTGCCAAAATCAGGAAGAGCACGGGCCGCATGGTGGTCGTCTGCACCTGCTGCGCGCACGCGAGTAACGCCCGTGGCCGGTTGCGGGCGTGGGTGCAGTGGCGCGCCGCCGCCTGCGCTCGGCGTGGAGTGCGGAGTGGGGAGTGGATTCCCGCCCGCCGCACGTGGAAATCCCCTGCACGCCGCGCTGGTCACTACTTCACCTCGCCTCACCGTCAGAGCAGGAATTCCCCCCGCGGAAAGTTTGTTTCGTGCAACGTTGTGGAGACTGACGTCTTTCATATGAACCGGTGAAAGGTTTGGTTTGGTTTGTTATAGGAATCGTCTTTTATTTAATGTGACGCTTTTAACTTTCTTAGGACGGAAAATCAGATTCAGGAAGATTATCCTAAAGTATGGATTTTAAGTATTTCTCAGACGTTTGCCAGTAAATGATTTTCCAAAGAAGGAAATACGTAATCCAGTACTATTTTATGTGTATAATGACCTGTTAATTTGTATCTTTTTAGATCGGGGAATTTATCAATTACTGTCATGGAAGTAAAATGTTACTGTTCCTACTGTTGTAAATATTGATGGAGAATCGTGACAAAAGAATGATAGATGAGAAGTATTTTTTTTCTTAGAAACTTATACCAGTTTAACTAGTTTGTCACCCTTTTTTGAGACAATACAATTGTTCACCTTTCTTCAGTCAACGCTCCTCATTTGATATTGCCCAGACCATAATTGTCAATGTTTGTCAGTCGTGACAAAAAATGAGAAGGGAGCAAGGTTTTTGTTTGGAGATGTTGTTTGTTGCAAGGTTTCTGTAGTCTGACATCATCTTTTAGTGCGCTAAAAGCATCGACTTCCGTAGTGCTTAATCCGTGTTGGAGAACTGCGACGTATTCGAGAACTGTCAGAACTGCGTAAAAATCCCAAACATCGTTTTGCGCTGTATCCTGTTGCTTTTGCTGAATCATTTACATTGTGGTGTGTGCGGTGTGTGGTACGTGCGATATGGAAAATTCCTTTATTTTCTAAAATAAGTTAGTTATTTTATTTATTCCAGTTTCAACCTTAAACTACAATGGATACTAATATATTTCATTTGGAATTGATTAATGAACACTGCCAAAATTGTATACTTCTGTTTAAAATTATTTAGTCTAAAATCATAGAAAGCTCGCATTTGACACTGTCAGGCAATCTTGTATACGTTTTGCATAGATTTTTCAGACGTTAGATTTGAATCTAAACTAAACAGTAATTGTTTAGTGGTTTGCTTGTTTATTCTAAATTATGAGACCGTTCCTGGACTAGAAACAAAAACTAGTGGTGCTAAACCTTCATGTATTCCCACGCAAAGTTTCGTAAAAAGTACTCAAATTTTCGAAAAATTGTACTTGCTTATTTCGAAACCTATCGTTAAGCAACAGTTTTCATTAAGGGAAAAATATCTATCTTCATAATTGTAGTTGTAGGAAGACACCAAAAAATTCCAGATTTCAAAAACTGAACTTTTGAAATTTTCGAAACATCACAGTTTTTAATGAACATGAGACCTGCACCATTCTGTTAAACGTCCTTTACACTATCCAATCATATGTAATAAATAACCGAGGGAAGAGAAAAAAGTTAGGATGGGAGAAGGAAGAGAAAAGAGAAGGTAGTTTTAATTTTGTAAAAGACGAAATATGAATTTTGATTAGTAGAATTTTTATGTTACGTGAAAAGTACATATTAATTTTTGACATTTTGTTTGAAATAATCTTAAGCATGGTAACAAAAACTTAAGAACACTTGGTGAGGATGTAGAAACACATTTTATTTTCACTTCCATATTTTATTTTAATTTTGCACAGATATGCACAGAAAATCAATATTTTGTAGTTACCAATATGTATATTGCAACATATATTTAAAGCTCTGGATTTAATTTAATAAATTAAATAACTCATAATCTTATACTGATCAAAACTAATTTTATCTCTTCTGACTTCAGTCGGCCTTGTGAGCTATTTTCTAAATGAAAATGACAAGTACATTTCGCAATACAAATTCAAGGCAATGTGAACTGTTGGTTTGTGACATTTTAGCACAATGTGGCACACTCATTTTAATTCGATGTGGGGTTTGTTGCTGGCAATATTGTAGCTTATTTACATACATGGCAGTGAAAGTACCATCCCTGATCATGCTAAGAGGGTTTTAAATTGATTGTAACAGAAAAAAGGAGAAAACTTTTATTATTAGTTCGAATTAAGTTCCGGACTGAATGTCCGTGATCTAGTAGAAGTCATATTTTCACTAGACCACGGCCGTCCGGTTCGGAAGGTAATTAGAATTGTGAATGTAACCGTGAAAGCTTTATTTACTATTAATTGTTTAGAGAGCAGTGCATCAATACTATTGTGAGTACATGAACGTAGATTTTTTTCCCTGTCAAATTTTAAGAATTGGTATTATTAAGTATTGTACTTGGATAATTTTCTGTTCTTGGAGTCATTTGCAAAGGAATACAAATGCCCATGCCCATTTTTGAAACATTAGTTCAATGTTCACAATGTTAGCCCAACTGAACAACTGCTATCTACATCGTTAGATACTAAAATACTATTTCATTGTGGTTACGAACAGACCTAGCGGTGTGAAAGAAAGAATGGAATGTTTAGAAAGCGATTGCATATAACGAAGGTTTTGGTTTGTTTTGTAAACATCAATAACCGTTCAAAGATATAACTATCACTTCGGGTGAGAAAAGATTATAATAATAAAAGTATGAAACGATGAAAATGTAACCGAAACAAAGAAGAAAAAACTACATTGGGGTTCATCTTTGATCCCCCGAACGTTTTGTGACTGTTAATGTACCTCTTCCATGATCCAGAATACATTCGCAGTCAGATTAAGAGGGACGATTAAAGTATTGGTTGTGGAATGTAAAATAGTAGTTTTATTTTTTTGAATTTTTAAGTTCCAAAATTTTTTTTAAATTTTTTAGAAAAATTTAGAAATTTTTTGAAATACTGTTTGATAGTGGAGTCATAATTGGTGCAATTTCCTATGGTCAATGGGCAAATTTGTACTTTTTAAAGTTCGTGTGTGTACTTCGACAGTTTACCATCACTTTATAAACGCTGTACTCGTAACAATAATCTTGATAACCAATATTTCTTTACATGCTTCATTGGATTTTTGTGTCATGTGATTTGTCTGTTGAAATGTACATGTCAGTGCATATGTGTGCGTGTGTGTGTGTTAGACAGGAGCTAGCTCCAGACGATGCTCTCGATCCAGTCGAGCTCAGGCAGCACGCGTGCGTAGACACCGGGCGTCGAGCCGGCGCACGGCAGCCCGCCGAAGCTGGTCACGCCCACCAGCACGTCCCCTCGCGGCGTGCGCACCGCAATCGGGCCCCCGGAGTCGCCCTAAGCACACAAAGCACACAGGTGTTAAAGTCACTTCAAGTACACACTGCCGGGTGCACGGCTCTTGGCGTCGAGCAAAAACCCACTCCTTTAGAATACCCTAAAGCACGAATAGATGCGGTGTGCGGAATAGCCTAAAGCATATAGAAGCACAGTTTAAAGTACTTCAAGCACACTGAATCAGCGTTCATGTCACGTTTCCCAGCACACCACCTTGCGGTGTCCATGCCACTATCGGACCCGCGAAGTGGTCTAAGCACAGAAAAGCACACAGAAGCACACAGTTATTCAAGTCACCCAATCACATTCATTTACATGTGAAAATCAACTCGTGATGCAAGTCTTGCACAGGCTCTGCTGCCAACCAGTCACAATGTACACAGAAACTCACGCACTGGGATTCATTTCATCATGCTCACCATTGCGACGCCTGACCAGTTCCTCAGCACCATCAGCCTCCTGAAATCGTTCCACGCCCACTCAAACACACACATATACACTGGTATATTATGTTAGTTGGCAGCTCGTGACGCCCACTTGCGCGTACAGAGGGTACAATTAGTTGTAAGGTAACTAGTGAACTGACAGTACATCGAAAACCCTCACACTTGGGTGCATAGAAAGAGCAACTAGTTGGTCATCTCGCGATACCTCACAATTAAACAACCAACATAGTTATCTAAAGGATTTCACATTAAAATATGAGTAATAGAATTCTTCAATACGGTTTTTTGTGTGTCAGTTCATTAATACATTAACACATTGACACTTATTTTAAAGCACATATGCCTCCTACATTACAATTACGATAGTATATTGCTAGCTTCCTTTTTTAAATTTATTTCTCCTCGTTCGACAGTCTTTGTCCTTCCAGGAGTTTAATTATACCGTACATTATATTTTTAATCTTTTTTGGAATGGGCATCTATAAGCAGGGGCTTTTTATTACTCGGAAGAATGTAAACATTGTGCTTAAATTAAATGAAGCGAGGTTAACGGTTGTTTCAGTATTTTGATCACTTGAGAGTTATGGCGGATTACGGTGGTTTGAATGAGTTTTTGGCATACCTGGATTTAATACGTGGGCATACATCATTGCGAACTGGACTGAAGATTAAGTAGCATGGGGAAGAGTGAAGGTTTTGATAAAAAAAATTGGGTTGTCCTACGTAGTCGCTTAATGAAGGATTTTTCTGTGAATCTAGGTATTTGGAATGAAATAATTATATGCCACCGAAAGCTGATTTTTTAATAAATAATATTGTTGGCAATGACGACGCATATAATTATTTCATTAGAAATGCCAACGATAACTCACCACAATACCTATATTTGGAATGAACCAAGGTGCATTTAAAATTCTTCTTACAAATATATTTTGAATGGCTATTACTTTTGGGAGATTGCTAGGGACAGCACATCCTCAAACTAGACATGTGGTTAGTAGAATTGAAGATTTAAATATTATTGGTATTGGGGTGAGTTGTTGACCATGACGACTCAAATACGTATTTGATTATTTCATTTAAATATTAATAATGTGGACTCTCCTTTCAATGAGGAACGTGTATTAATTAGAGGGAAGCGTTTTGACATTTGTTAGCTCCCGTGACTATAAACTTGGTTGAAGAGAGCGGGCAGGTGATGAGAGCGGAGAGCCTCCTCATTTCCCCGAGCGTAAGAGTGAAGAAAGGGGCGCCACTCACCACGCAGGTGTCTGCCTTGCGCTGTGGGTCTGCGGCGCACAGCATGGAGGTGTCCACCCCGCGCGGGATCTCGTTGCGCTGCGTGATGAGCTTCCTGCACTCGTCCAACGGCACCTCGCGCACCTCCGCCCTCTGCAGGGCGTCGGGCTTCTCGAACCCTAACAGCCGCCATTGTACGACACCATTAAACATAACCTTTCTTTTTTAATTAATTAATTATTTTTTAATTACCTACAGCAGGGCAAAGCCCCAATTACAGTAGGTATTACAAGATAAAAACAAAAAATCATCAATTTCAAATGAAATCACTGAAATCCAACCACAAGAATATAGATTTTTACAGAACTTGGTAAAACATAACACACCTGTAAGATAAACAAAAATGAAATCATTATATCTTCAAAACAGTCATTACCAAAAATATAAAAATATAACAAAAATGAGTATACAATGGCAATTTATTCTTATCGGCAATATTATAATTATATTACATCAGTTTGTAACTTATATTTTTATGTTGTGTCGTTGTTGATTCATTATTATTATTATTATTATTATTATTATTATTATTATTATTATTATTAATGAGATCATTGCGTGATTAAAATGAAAAAAACTTATCATTCTCTGGACCGTGAAACGTCTCAACGACTTTGTTATATACAAGAGCTGGAGAAAAATAAAAAAAAACAAGACAGTTTCGATTTTAACTTAGAAATGCGAATATTTGATTATATGTTATTCCTTCTATTTTCATACAGCTAACATCATTAGAAAGCAAGATTAAAAGGAAGATATATTAATATTTTCTCATTTCGCATTGAGATATAGAGTTGTGAGTAATTTTAGAAGTTTTTAAGAAAACATCGTAATGCGTTAGTGTAAATGTGAAATGGAAAGCTCTCTTTCACAAAAAACCATTTAAGTTTTTGAAAACTTGATTGGAAGTAAATTAAAGTACTTCCACTCACAAATGTAATAATGTATATAAATTGCTGGAAATGTGCACATTGATAGTATGAGAAATATTTTTTAAAATTGTGTAATTTTTGAAAAAATCAAAAGAATGAAACAAAGTGAATTTTGTGACATCTTACACAATTAGCAATCTCATACAAAAACTAAAAAGAAAAATAATTGGAGCAGTTTAAATAAAAAACACTTTATATGACATCATTTGAAGCATTTGTTTTAATAAATTCAATAATGTGTTCAAATCGCCATTAATGAAAATATGAACCACGTGAGACAGAAGCGAAAAACGTTACACGTCGTCTGCAGCCACCTCAGCTCTGGAAACGAAAAACACATAGTCGCATAACAGCCCTGAGGAAGACCACGACAAGATGGTCGAAACGTCGGCAACACAGCCTTCGACACGGCGTCACCCGGACAGCCAAAATCACGGAAAAAGCGTACCTTCCGGGTCGGTGGCACCCCAGCCGGCCACGACGAGCGGCGGGTTCGCGCCGAAGTCCTGCCCGGGCGCCGCCAGGCACACGGGCAGCTCCGCGTCGGAGAGGCGCACGGGCCGGTCGGTGCGGAGCAGCGCCAGGTCGAAGTACTTCCGGTCCGGGCGGTGGCGCGGGTGCAGCGTCACAGACTCCACCGAGTAGTCGCTCGGCAGCTGCGGCCCTTGCGCCAGGTTGGTCACCCCTGTGCGGAGGGCCACCGGCCGCAGGTTTCGCCTGCCGAAGGAATGGGGATTGCTTGCAGTGTTTCAATAGTTTAAAATTAACCTATTTGAGGACATACATTTTATGTGTTGAATTTGAAGTCTGGCGTTTTCAATGCTTTAATTATCGTCAAATTGACTGATTCAAAATATTTCAATAATTGACTTGTTTTCTTGTATATTTCGTGGTTTTATTTATTATTTTTATTTATTATTTATATTTATTATTTTTATTTATTATTTTTATTTATTATTTTATTTATTGTTTTTATTTATTATTTTATTTATTATTTTTATTTTTTATTTTTATTTATTATTTATTTTTATTTATTATTTATTTTTACTTATTTTTTATTTTTTTATTCGGACTTGAGGTATAATAGAATCTTTGAACATAACCAATGGGTGGATAGTAGCTTATCAAATCAGAAAAGTAAACATTTTTCTAGCTTTTTCATTATTTATACTGCCAACAACTTTAATATTACTATTCGCCTATCTGACCTGATGGTTGTACACGAAAGGAAATTGGTGTTCGCGATGTTTTGGACGAAGGAAGCTCACCGTTGGGCGTCGGTGATGCAGTGAGCTGCGGTGAGGACGTAGCGGTCGCTGATGAGGCTGCCTCCGCAGTGCCACTTGAGGTTGGCGCCCTCACTCTTGCCTCTGACGTAACCGATCGCCACCTTCAAATAATATGCAAACTTTACTAAGGATTGTACAAAATATGATGAGAGGCAATTTTTTTCTAAGAGTTAAAAATAAAGAGTAAATACTGGAGTGATTACGGGGCAAAAAGCATTATCTTGTAAACCTATTTGCTGGTCTGCTCACAATTCCTTTTCAGCGTGAGTGGGATCAAATACATTCTTTCTAAAGGAATGATACAGTATCCTATCGTATGCTTTGATTTAACCTTTAGTTTTGTTCTTTTATTAGGCATTCAACCACCTTCTTTCTACCAAATTTAATATGCTTTTGTCTACAAAATTGGTTTGGCTTCCTTTTATTATAGTGTGTAATGTAATGAATATTCGGAATGAATGATTAACCAAAACTAGAATTCGGAATGAGAAACGCGGGAAATTACATAATTCTAAAGCTTCTGATAATTTTTTACTCCAAAATAATCGTGTTCAGGATTTAAAATGAATGACAAAAAGTGGGGAAGTTAGTTCTCTTCTCTCTGTTTTTGATCAGCAATTATTTCTACACATTATTTGGATTATAATATGAGGAGAGTGATTAATTTGACAATTTGTCAAATGAGTAAATGATCAGATTAGTAAATGACTTGATTGATCATGCAGAAGAACTAGAAATAAAAGCCAGTGAAGCTGGGATGGGCCCCTCATCCTTCCAAGAAAAAAGTGGTTGAACTGCTTTGTCTCCCAGCTTGCTCACCCCACCGCACACAAATTCAGTAGAACCCCGCTAATTCGAACCCCGTAAATCAGAAATTTTGGATAAGACGAACAAAATTCAGGATTGAAGAAAAATTAAATTAAATAAATAAAATGCATTTTGTGTAGAGTAAAGAAATGATTTTATCATTAGAACTGAACAACTAATTATTGAAACACAATTTGTCAAATTCAAACAGGTAATTACGGTGTATATCACATGCATATATCTCATTGCACGCTACGTTGCACAAAGTCTGGTAATCCTACAGATGTATTTGTGTATGTACAGTGAATTTTTTTTTTCGAATAATCCGAATATTTCCGAATCCGAACACATTGCAACGCAAATTAGTTAGGAATACCGGGGTTTTGCAGTAACTGAAAATTGTAGAACCTTTTGGACATTTTCGAAACAATAATATTTTCAAATGCGACTTCCCAGAGCGCGGAACCAGGATCTTTCGGATGATGAAGAGACACAGCCGCAGCATTTTGATAAAATTATTTGGAGTAAAATGTGATTTACCATGTAAGGAAATTCCAAACTCTTTGCATTTTCTCCGTGGACTATGAAAGGAACATAGTCTCCTTGGTTCCATGAACTGCGGCGTATTCTTGGTTTAAGTCTCTGGTACTGCTCACAAGCTGCATTTGGAACAAAACAAAGTTTGGATTACTTTCATGTTTTTCTATTATATTAAGCATATAGAAGTCTATATCGGACATATACGGTTACGATATTTCCACACTAAGTTTATAATTAAACGATTGTGTATTTTTTGTATAATAGTACATCGTACACTAAAAAATCAAACATATATATGTTTCATATTTTTCTGGCTTCAAAAGTGTATTTTAAATCAAGTATTCATATACGAAGATAATTTGTTTCTGGCGGGTATATTAACGTTCATATAAATGAAATTGGAATGTTGTTAGTCTTTCATTTGAGGTGCCTAGGTATCATTTTGGAGTTATCCATCAGACCTGCAGAACACGCGATAACATTTTATTGAATGGTTTTACAATTAAAACAAGAACATTTTCATATGGTTTGACTCGCGAGAGTAATTAAACAAATTAAACCTATATACTCCTATTCAACTGAATACAAATTATTACGTAGCGAAAATATTTCTTTATATACAAATATCCTGAATTTGTCACGAACTGTCACTGTTAGTCCATTTAATCCACCTTGTATTTTTCAACAACTATTAGAGCTGCGTCCTTACTAGGAATGCCATCGACAACAATACATCCGTGTGAATATTTTTAAAATCGATATTAAAACACATTGATCTATTTCGAACGATAATGAAATATACTATCAATGTTTTTAAATATTGATGTGTGTAAAACCATTTTAGTAACCTCTAACATCACCGTTCAGATGCATTCGTTTTCATGTTACAGTGGTCGTGCTTATTAATTTATAATTAAGATTTAGATGACAAAACAAAGTCAAACATTTCTCATAACAATTAATAAAATACGTAGGTTCTCTTTTCGGATAACGCAAAAAAAGAATACACTATATTTATCATGAATAAACCGACAAACATTTTTTTACTCTTGGTGACTTTGTTGAAGAAGATTCAAATAATGTACGTGTGAAAATAATTGTAGTTTAAATTATAGTTTTTAATCAAATTAAAAATATCAACCAATTAAAACATTGAGCTCAAAACATAGATCTTAGAAAATATCCTCAATAATTTGGTATTTGTATAAAAAATCGATGTTTGAAAACATCGCCATCGATGTCGCAACCCAAGGACTTACCTCTCTGGCTGGGCCGTGTGGCCTGCCTGACGGGCCTGAGGCGAGTGGGGGCTGGCTGGGGCAGCCCGTTGGGCGTCCAGCAGCACACGCGCGGCCCGGGCAGGTGGGAGGAGCAGCGCGCGGGCCTCCGCCCCAGGCCCAGGTCCAGGCCGCGGCTCAGGCCCTCGCCCTGGCGGCCGAAGGGAGCATCGAAGGCCCCGAAGGGCTGCGCCGCGGCCGGGCACAGGTCCGCGGACATGCAGCGCGACCCCGCCGGGCACTCGTTCTCACGACCTGCACACACACACACACACACACACACACACGCGCGTGGATATTGGTAAGGATGTTTAAGGAGAATCTGTATTTGACGCGCGATCTCTTAAGATTAGTTAGGAGCAGCGAAGTGACCACAGCAACGGAATTGATTGGTTTCCGTGTGCGTCAGCTTCTAAGGTCATAGGCTCCGTAAGAGTAGTGCCTGTTTTTCGCTCGTGAGGTGGTGGTGATCTTCCCCGCAGGATGGCGAGATCCGGCGCCGACCTACTGTCGACTAGCGGGATATTCCCCAATCAGGCATCTCCCACCATCAGCGTGCCGCTGCCCCAGCCGGCACAACGTCTAAGCTCCCGATCGGTCTCTCGGCATATGTGGTAGGGTAGTGCATGTAGGTATGTGTGTGAAAGGGGTGAGTATAGGACAAGGAGTGGGAAGGAATGATCGCGCGCGGTTCGTTGCCCGTTTGCTAGGGTGCTGTTCCTGCATTCACTCGGTAACGATAAGAGAAACCACGGAAAACTACCCATCAGAGCAGCCGGTCATTAGAATTCTCCTCCGAAGCGATAGAATTCGTCCCAGCTACCGGAACGGAATCCGAGGCACGTTTGAAGCTGTGACGACGCCTCAGGCATATAAAGGAGCGACGAGCATTTGAGAGGTAGCCAGCAAACTAAGTAACATAATGGTGACTCTTCTGTAATACGGTAACTGCGCTACGCACTGGTACATCTCCCGCTGTAACAACTGGGCTACGAACGTGATTGTTTCTAATGGTGGATTGTTAACTTGTAGGTATACAACACGATTTGAAATGTGGAAGTTGTACTTCCTTTATTTATCATAATGAATCAAGTATGTTGTATGGTATCAATATCTTTATTAGCCTTATGATCGTTTCAATCGCCTAGCGATCATTCTCAGAGCTTGCAGCTTCCGGGCCGAAAACAAAGTTCTGCCAACTGTCATCAAGTTCAGAATTTTGTTTTCGGCCCGGAAGCTGCAAGCTCTGAGGATGATTGCTACGCGATCGAAACGATCATAAGTCTAATTAAATTATTGATACCAGACTACATCCTTTATTTATCATAACCATAGAAGGTATCTACCTCACCAGCAATCTAATTACCAATTGCTTGATTCAATAAACAAATGTTATATTGTATATTTGCTCCTGTGTATTTATTGGACATAAGTTAGCCACATTACTATTTCCCAACGCGTGCTGACATTGATAAAAAAGTATGCATACTCCGGTCTTATGAGACGTTAAAATTACGTCATAAGAAAAATAATGGGATTTAGGCAACATTTGCTTAAAAAGTCTTACAAAATTACATTATTTTTAAGGATCAATTGTAATAATTTTCTATACGCTCTGAAATTGAAATCAAATTGCGCAGCCTCAGACCACGTGACAGATGCATTCGGTTTCCTTAGGCCCCCAGGTAAACGGGAAAAATTCTTAAGCTTGAAAGCAGTTTCAATTTTGGAAAAATGCAAATATGTCGTTGGTTATTCCAGCCATTCGTATACTGCTTGTTCCGACTGACTTCTAATACTGAATGTGTCCGTCACTTACAACCAATGCATCACTGATGTCATGTGACAGCAGTCTCCAAAGAAGATACGTGTCCCCACTATTAAATATTAGATATGCACATGTTCCGTTATGGAACAGTATTCTTGATATGTTTTTGTTTATACAAAACTGTTGTACTCTGTGAATACTTCTCTAAGTTATTGCACTATTTCTCGAGGTTGTTTTTGTTTCATATTTAATTTATTGCAGTGGTATACTTTTTCGTTACCGGCAGAGGTGGCTCAGGGAATCAATTGATGTCATCACTGTAACAATGACCGGGAAATTCTACAGTTCGAGTCCCAAAGGTGTCACGATTTTCGACATTAGCTAGGTATCGAGGTCGAATTCAGTCGCTGTGTCGAGGATAATTCTAGAGTCCTACTGCTCTAATCGGTTGTTTTTCCTGGCTTCTCCGATGAATACCGGAACAGTACCCTAACGGACGAACATTGGACTGCGCGCTATCTCTCCTTCCTATTCCTTGTTCTATCCCAACGTACATACACACATCTGACATTAACGTGCACTACACTACCACACATGTCGGGAGACCAGTCGGGAGTTTAGAGCTTGTCCCCGCTGGGGCGGTGCCCTGCTGTTGGGAGATACGTGGTTGGGGAAAATCCCCGGAAGCTGGCGGATAATTCGCCGCACGATCTCGTCATTTAGTAAAGGAATATCACCTCCACCACCCGCGATGAAAACATCCACCACCCTGACGTAATAGCAGTGGACGTGCTCGGAATGGCTAATCAATCTATCATTCTTTGTTGTATGTAAGCTGTAGGCGATTTTTTGGAAAACCATTTTGGTGGTTTTGTTCTGCAGCCCCCAAGTAGTTATTAACATCATTAGGCTGATGTAGAGTAAGTAAAGGACGCGATTGAAGTTTGAAAACCAATATGGTACCTAGTGCAATCAACCAATTTTATTATTTCTGTTATCGTCCATGTGTCATTCAATACGTTTTGTCATATGACATTTTTATAAAAAACTCAATAAACCAAATAACAAATTTAATTATTCTACATATGTTTTCCTTAGTTTCTTGTAAACATGCTTTCCTTGCAAGACTCAATACAAGTTAAGAGCTTTCTCGTACGCTCTAGACTTTTTTGGGGGAATGAAGGGGTAGCTTGAATTAATTTTTCAACTTACTAGGAAAGATTTTCAGTATTTTCACTAATACAATCTTCTAATCCAATTTCGTTCTGACTTCAAACCCGAAAATGTGCAAGGCAATTTTATTTTTAATAATTGAAACCTAGAAAACAAACATTGTATTCTTCTCGGAATGCAAGTACTTTTAACCCCTTTGCTAAATAACCGATTGTGTATGCATCTCGTCGATTTTGTTTCCAGAATCACAATTGAAACCTGATTTAGATTTTTGGTATAATAAAAAATATTATTTCGATATTAGAAACTGTCTGGCGATGTTTATACTGTTTTCACGGCAACCAAAGAGCAAAGAAACAACAAACTTGGCTAAAAACACACCTTCCTTTGCCACCGCGTGGTAAATTTTCGTTGACTACCTTCACTACAAATATAACTATTTTCTTCCTCAGAGAATATAGCGGTTACGTTCGGTTCACAGAATTTTTTCGTATATTATGAAATATAAATAGTTTATAAAAAATAAAATAATAGTATTGAAATATATGAAACTACTTCTACTAATATTTTGAAACATTTAACATACTTTCGAAAAGTTTAGTATTTATTTCATCAGAAAATTACCGCCATTATCAGCAGAATATTCTCCTGGAAACATCCAGATTCCGATATCACGACGTATATCTTTTGTCGGCCTGACTTCCTGACGGACGCCGTTAACTGACGTTGCGGAAAGACCAAACCTCAACTCTTCCTGTCTCCAAATGCTCACATTTTATCTCTCTACTTCATCCATTCACGGTGTGACTTCCCCCATCATTTGATGCCTTTCTCAACAATAACATGCATCCAATTATTTTTTATTTATTTTTTATTTTATTATCAATGTATTTATACCTTTC